CTGCTAACGAGAAGCAACCTGTCTCCTGCAGTCTATCTGACTGTCCTTCTGAACAGCCCTGCACTTAGATCATCAGCTACTCACAGTGTGATTGCCTGTACCTTGAAACTGCCCAGGTCCTGTTCCTGTAACACTCGTTGAGCAGTCACTTTCACACTCAGCCTGGCTGTGAGGCAGTTTGTCACATGAACATGGCTACACTGGTCTCATGATACTCAGGTCATGTCCCATGGTACTGCTGGATAATGTTCCCCAACATAACCTTCAATTCTCTTTATTTATTTTTGTTCTTCCTCACAAACCATCTAAACGTTGCTGGATTACTAGGTCAAAAAGGCATTCGGAACATTTGTCTTCTTTTCTTCAATGTTTCACTTCATTTTATATCTAAGGTCAACCCAGGGATAGTTCAGAGTGACTGGGATACCAAGACAGCCATTCACCTAAAGTAGCTACACATTAACACATGTTCACTCGCACAGTCTACTCTCACTCCACAGTGTTCACCATCATACACTGACCTCTGACTGTCATTGCTGCTTGTTTAAGGGATCACATGCTGCAATACGACGTGGGTGGGAATTTTCCCAGACCAGGGAATGCTTATTCCCATCAGGCAGCCTGCATTCAGACATTCTGGAGAAACAACAGACTCCAAGAGTAGAGTATGACAACAAGAACTGGCAGGAGTCTGACTTCCTTCCATGCCTGGCCAAGTTATGAAGCATGAACAGAATAAGGGTGAAGTGTTATATAAGGCAGTTAGGTCTCCCCCCATAGGGATAGAAAGGTCTGTTCTTGGGAGAAACTAACTAGTTCTTCCAATGAGTTCTGCATGTGGTCACCAGAGGGTCAATGGTGCTTCGGTGATTCAGTGTTAAGCAGTGACATGAATAACTCTAAAGGTCAGCCTGATGTCTCAGCAAATGTGTCTCAGATTCATGTAACGAGTGACTAAGTGATACACCATAAACCTATGTCCGATATTGTTCATCAAGTTCGAGTCTACACGTGCTGAAAGGTTTGTGTGTGGCATTCTTCTTCTTCCAGTGATATGAGCAAGAATGATCAGTGGCACTGAATCTACACAGAGCACCCCAATGGTTCCAACAGAAGCTAACACACGGAGGAAAGCAGCATTGAACACAACACAGATTTAGTTTTAAACGTTACTATCCCACGTGTGAGAAATGGAACAATAAACAGCCTGCTATGCTCAATTGTTATGAACTTCTCCTTGTCCTTTTCTTTTATTCCTCATAAAGTATCTGATCAAGGCTACAACAATAACTGCTTACATTTATGTGGCACCAAGATTAATAAAACCGACATTGAGCCAAAGAGGAGGTCCTGTTAGAACTGACCAAATGTTGGAGATTTTGAGGAGGGCCTTCAAAGGGGATAGAGAGCTGATGAGGTTTAGGGAGGGATGACCAGAACTTTGGGTCTAGACAGGTGAAGGCATGGTCACCGACAGAGGAGCCATTAAAATCAGGAATGAACGTAGAACAGTACAGCACAGAAACGGGCCCTGCAGCCCATGATGTTGTGCCGAACATGACACCAAATTAAAGTAATCCCTTCTGCCTGCCCTTGGTCCTTATCCCTCCATTCCTTGCATATTCATGTGCTTATCTAAAAGCCCCTTAAATGCTCCTATTGTATCTTCACCACCACCCCTGGCAGCACATTCCAGACTCTTACCATTCTCTGTGTAAAAAAAACTAGCCCCTCACATCACGTTTGAATTTTCCTCCTCTCACATTAAATGCATGCCCCCTAGTTTTAGACTTTATAACTCAGGGAAAAAGATTCTGACAGTCAACCCAATCAGTGCATCTCATTATTTTATAGACATCTATCAAGTCTCCCCTCAGCCTCCTCTGCTCCAGAGAAAATAACCTGAGTTTTTCTAGTTTCCCTTTATAGCTCATACCCTCTAATCCTGGCAGCATCCTGGTAAACCTCTTCTGCACCCTCTCCAAAGCCTTCACATCCTTCCTGTAAAGTGGTGACCAGAACTGAACACAATGCTCTAAGGGTGGCCTAACCATGTCTTATAAAGCTGCAACATGACATCCTGTCTCTGGTACTCAGTTCCCTGACTAATAAAGACAACCATGCCTTACACCTTATTTACCACCCTATCTACTTGCGTGGCCACTTTCAGGGAGCTATGGATTTGAACCCCAAGATCGTTCTGTACATCAGTGCTGTTCTGGGTCCTGCCATTAACTGTATACTTTTCCTTAAAGGAAGGAAGACAGAGAGCTGAAGTTCCTATTCCATGTATGGATTCTCACAAGCTGCACACTGCAGACTGAGAAACATCAGTCAGTCCCAGTGCAAGTCCATCACTGAACAATTATAGGATCAAAGGGCTGTTGGAGGTTACTGAGATAGGGAAGTGTTGGTGGAATGGAAGTCAGCTCAGTCAGTCTCTTCCAAAATGAACCGGACAGGCTGCAATACTTTCTGGAAAAAGACTGGGACCAAATAAAGCTTTAAAAAAATGTTAAATTGTTCCAAGAGATTTCAACATGAACACAAGTTGTCTGAATTGAATAGCATGTGTCCTATTGTCCTGTTGTCTGTAAATTCCTAAGACTAATTGGCCCAGTAAGTGTTGCAGTGGGAACTTTGATGGAGAGTTAAGTCTTTTAGATAGAGCAAGTCTGCAGCAGACTGCATAGAAAGCTTCAATTAAACAAAACATTGTTCCAAATTTAAATTGTGTGATTATTCCAGGCATGTGGGAACATAAAGACTACCACACTTAGGATAAATAGGTCTTTTTCTGGTTGGCAAAATATACCAGCAAGATACCACAGTTCTCAGGCCCCAACTTTTTTACAATTCTATATTAACAACTTCGATACAGATGACACTAAAATAGGTGGGAAAGTAAGTTGCAATGAAGAAATAAGTAATGGAAATGGACATAGGTGAATGGGCTAAAATTAGAGGAAATTAAACATGCATGAGTGTGAGGTTATCCATTTTTTGGTCAGAAGAATAGAAAGACAACTTATTATCTAAATGGAGAGAAACTTCAGAGTGCTTCAGTGCTGAGGGTATCTGTGTGCATGCATTGCAGAAAGCCAGAATGTGGGGATGGCGGGTAATCAGGAAGGTAAATAGAATTTTGGCATCTATCGCTGAAGTAATAGAATATTAAAGTATGGAAGTGTTGGTGCAACTGTACAAGGCATTAGTGAGACTGCACCTGGAGTTTTGCATACAATTTTGGTTCCCTTACCTGAGGAGGGATGTAGTTTTACCAGAGGCAGTTCAGAGGAGGTTCACTAGATGGATTTCAGAGATGAGGGGTTTGTCTTATGAAGAGGGATTGAGCAGTTTAGGCCTATAGTCTCTGGAGTTTAGAGGATGAGAGGAGATGTGATGGAGGTCTATAAGATGCTAAAGGGGATTGACAAAGTAGACGTAGGGAGGATGTTCCCTCATGTAGAGCAACCTAGAATGACAGGTCGTCGTTTTCGGATAAGGGGCGGCAGATTTAAAACAGAGATGAGGAGAGATTATTCTCTCAACCTTCTCTCAAAAGGTTGTGAATCTTTGGAATTTGCTATCCCAGACTGCAGTGGATGCTGGGACATTGAGTAAATTTAAGGAGGGGACTGACAGATTTTTAATTAGTAATGGGTTGAGAGGTTATGGAATGCAGCAGGAAAGTGTTGTTGAGGCTGAGATGCAATCAGCCATGATTATATTAATTGGCGGAGCAGGCTCAACAAGCAGAATGAATGACTGGTGCTCCTAGATCTTATGTTCTCAGCTGCAGGGAACCTCCTTTTGGTAAATGGTTGAGGAAAGGAGACGGAAATTTATTTGTATCAAAATAAATGAAAGGTCGATATTGTGTTGAGGAAATCAGTTTTGTTAAAGCACTTACATAGTCTAAAATATATCAATGCCATGCTAAAATTTAGACAAAGAAAACATCTATTTGCAGTCTTTGACTCTTTCATTCTTACTGTAAGTATCATGGTATCTATTCTCCAGAAGTGTCTTTTACAAGAGAGGTGCAAGGAAGGATTTGCACAGCCAGTGTCCCCTTGAGATGGTGAAGGGCAGTGATGGATAGAAATTGATGGGACTAACAGCACTGTAACACCGACAGAATCTCGTAACAGCAAACAGCTCTGTCGAGGTTGGAAGAGCAAGGTTTAGCCAGCTATTAATGTAACAGTGCAGGGAAAAGGAAGCTTGCAATCATAGAATCCCTACAGTGTGGAAGCAGGCCATTCAGTCCATCAAGTCCACACCAAATGTCTGACAAGTATCCCACCCAGATCCATGCCCCTACCCTATCCCTGTAATTCCCATGGCTAATCCACCTAGCCTGCCCATTCCTGGACACTATGGGCAACTTAGCATGGCTAATCCACCTAACCTGCACATCTTTGGACTGTGGGAGGAAAGCAGAGCACCCGGAGGAAACCCACACAGATACAGGGAGAATGTGCAAACTCCACACAGTCACCTGAGGGTGGGATCGAACCTATGTCCCTGGTGCTGTGAGGCAGCAGTGCTAACCACTGAGCCAATGTGCAACAAAGAAAGAGAGACAGGGAGTGAGACTGGAGCATGGATACAACATTTAAATCTACAAGTTATTTCCTTGTATTCTGTTAAGGAGAGTTTGAGATCTGCTGTAGGTGCCTCATCAATATTGAATAGTTCATCTCTTGAGTGCATTTTAGTTTTATCATATTCGTGGGTGTTTACAGAGAGTGTTTGGGATGAAGAATTTGGGGGCGATTACAGTAAAGTGATAATGTAATCAGACTATATATTCATAGGCAAATGTTAATGTCCTGAGGAAGATAAGTTCCAGTCCCACCGCTGGTAGAATTTAACTTCAATTCATACATTTGGAATTGAAAGCTGGTCTCAATGACAGTGACTGTGAACTCAGTAAACCACACAATTTAAGGACCATTTTTTTTAATAAAAAGCAGCCTTTTGAAAGTTTCTGCTGAGGTCAGTACCTGCCAGAAGACACTTTTCATCTTTTGAAGCAAGCAAGAATGAGATTGGACAATTGATCTTAGCTGTAACACAGCTCCCATCCAGAGATACCTGGGGAAAAGAGAAAAGGGAGCTGTTGGAAATGAATCCATGATAACTCTCAGACAATCTGGAAGTCTTATGAGGTATAGTCTGTAAAATTACAGAGTCAACATCAACAAACATGTACACGCAGCCCACCTACTTGCATCCCATTCCCCATCTCATTAACATACTAACTACTGTCAGCTGAGTGGGTCCCTTTTGGTGTAACAATCTTTCCCATGCATGAAGGAATCATTGGCTGGTTTCATAGTGTAGAAAGAGGCCGTTCAGCCCATTGAGTCCACACTAACCCTCTGAACAGTACCCCACCCAACCCCCTATCGTATTCCCGTAACCTCACATATTACCATGGCTAACACACCCCCTGGACACTACGGGCAATTTAGCATAGCCAATGCACCTAACCTGTACATCTTCGGACTGTGGGAGGAAACCGGAGCACCCAGAGGAAACCCACGCAGACATGGGGAGAATGTGCAAACTCCACACAGACAGTCACCCGAAGTTGGAACTGTACCTGGGTCCCTGGTGCTGAGAGGCAGCAGTACTGTTTCTTATTGTTAATATTAGTTATATTGTTAAGATCTGTTATGTTGTTCTTCCGGTCAGTTATATTGTTAATGTTAGTTGTATTGTTGTTAAGATCAGTTATATTGCTAGGGTCAGTTATATTGTTAATGTCGGTTAGATTTTTAAGCTCAGTGATATTGTTAATGTCGATGATATTGTTAATGTCGGTTATACTGTCAAGGTCGGTTATACTGTTAAGGTCGATCATACTGTTAAGGTCAGAATAAACAGATGAAGATTTATTGAGTGATCTCTGATCACGTGTCAAAGGAACCAGCTGAGACAGTGCATGAGTTGGTGAGTGGGAGGTGGTGATGTGTAATGCTGTTTTGTGAGTACTGTCAAGAATAGGATCTGGGTCTGGTTACATTTCACAATTTGGCTCAGATCTATTTCCCACTTATAAAGATCGAAACTTTGATGTTCCCCTCCTCCTTACAGAATCTCACAAGGTGCAAACTACACTGTGAAGAATTAGAACTACAACCATGGCCTTAACACTGGATCAGTGAGAACATTTCTGTGTTGTTGTGTTTTAGTGACAGCCAAGGTTCTAACTCCAGACCAAATTTCCAAAAGGTTGTCTGCAAGACAGAGTCTGTCTTATCTGATCTGTACTTTGTCAGTTACTGTGGATTTCCCCAGACTGAGGGTTATTCCCAGCAATAGGCTTCACGCTGTGTAGCAAATCATTGTGCTTCCTTCAAGCATTCACAGCACCACTCTAAGTAGATGCTGCATGCCTTTAATGAGCTACAGCATCCTTCGTAAATCCCTCATGCCTGAGCTTCATCAGCTGTACAGCTCAGTTAGGAACCTGCTACATTTATGTCAATTAAGCCAGAGAGAACAGTTCCAAGAAATCAAACAGCACAGGTTAAATTCACAGCCAACAAGTATAGTCTCAAGCTTATCTCAAGCTTTCATGCAACAACTCAATTGTGAGCTGATCTTGATCAATCAACAGCTTTGCCCAGAAAGCTTTTTTTGAGAAATGTATACTGGAGATTGCATGTAAGGAGTTCAAACGCACTTCCTGCAACTCAAACACAAATATTCCGTACCACTGCCACAAAGCCGTCGTTGAATCCCACTGCGACTTTGCCCTGGCTTCTGAGTGGAAGGATGCAGGTTGGGGTGGAGAGACTTAGGCCAGTGAGATGGTAAGTGTTCTGTAGAGTGCCCTGGATTTGGTCCCACACACACAATGTGCCCCCAAATGACACAGTGAGCAGCGAGCTGTGGCATCCAAGCACTGTTGTGTATGTGGTGTGGTCCAGGGTGCCACCAGATAATTGGAACAGAGGCTCTCCATTTTTCAGGTGCCAAGCCTTAATCTGAAAGCAAGAAAGATCATAAGATCATAAGCATCGTTAGAATCTGGATAAGTGAGGGAATTTCTTACTTTACACAACAATCCGTTTTCCCCCGGCTCAGTTATTTTCCCGTCAGTACTGCCAGAGACTGAGAACAAACTTGCAAATGTCATTAAAATCAAAGTGAAACAACTTCTCTTTCAGCTTCTGGGCAGTTTTGAGAAACCACTCCATCTGTGGGATGGATTCATGTGAAACAGTGCCTTCTCCTGGTGCTGATAGACTGAGGACTCTCGCCTGACCAGTTTTATTCTCATGAGGTCTCGAATGAAACAGAGTGTGGACCTCGGGCCATGCTGTGGGCCTGGGGCCATGCTGTGGGCCTGGAGCTGACTCCCTTGCCATCTTCTGTAGAAGATGTCCACATCCTTAATTACAAAAGACCTAGGAGCAGGAGGACGCCATTCAGCCCTTCAAGCCTGCTCTGTCACTTAATACGATCAAGACTGATCTCATCTCGACCTCAACTCCACTTTCCTGCCCTCTCTCCAGAACTCTTTAATCTGTTATTAATTAACAATCCGTCTTTCTTCTCCTTAAATTTATTCCATGGCTCAGATCATGAGGAAGACCAACAGGAATAGGCCATTTGGCCCCTCAAGCCTGCTCCGCCATTTAGTAGGATTATGGCTGATCCAACATTCCTCACGTCCACTTTCCTGCCCTTTCCCCATAACCTTTGAGTTCCTAACTGACTAAGAATCTATCTGTCTTAGCCTTAAAAAAATATAAGGACTTTGCCCCCACAGCTCTCTGTGGACACTCAACCCTCTGACAGAAGAAATTCCTCCTCATCTCAGTCTTAAATTGGCCCCCCTTTATTCCGAGACTAGACCCCCTGAAGGTCCTTGAAGGGTCTAGGCCCGAAACATCAGCTTTCCTGCTCCTCTGATGCTGCTTGGCCTGCTGTGTTCATCCAGCTCTACACCTTGTTGCCTCTGGTCCTAGGCTCTCCCATGAGGGAAAACATTATCTCAGCATTGACCCTGTCAAGCCCCTTAAGCATCCTACATGTTTCAATGAGATCACCTCTCATTCTTCTAAACTCCAGTGAGTAGAGTCCCAACCTGTTTAACCGTTTCTCATAAGACAGTCCCTCCATACCAGGGATCATCCTCGTGCACCTTCTCTGAACTGCCTCCCATGCAATTACATTCTTCCTTCAGCAAAAGGACCAAAAATGTATGCAATGCTCAAATTCCCAGTGTGTGCTCCTTGAGTGTCAAGAAAGATCATTCAATAAAATAGTCTTATCAGGAGTGGGGCCTCAGTCCTCTCCCTTAATCTTAATGTACAACTCTAAAGCCATCCTCCTCTGCTACAGGCAGAATCTTGAGGGTAAGGGTGTAACTGAGAATAGAACAGGAGACAACAAGGTGCAGGGCTGGATGAACACAGCAGGCCAAGCAGCATCATAGGAGCAGAGAGGCTGACGTTTCGGGCCGATAGAACAGGAGCTGGTTAATAGAGTTAAGATTCATTAGTCATGATCTAAGTGAATGGCAGAAGAGATGTGAATGACCTCCATTAGTTCCCATATTCAATAACTTCAAAACAGTGTATTGTGCTGGACTTTTTAAAATTCATTCATGGGATGTGGGCATCTCTGAATAGGCCAGCATTTATTGTCCATCCCTAATTGCCCAGAGGGCAGTTAAGAGTAAACCACATTTTTGTAGGTCTGGAGTCATGCGTAGGCCAGACCAGGTAAGGATGGCAGTTTCATTCCCTAAAGGGCATTAGTGAACCAGATGGGTTTCCCATCAATAGGGTGGCACAGTGGCTCACTGGTTAGCACTGCTGCCTCACAGTGCCAGGGACCTGGTTCAATTCTTAAAACCCTTGGGGGACTGTCTGTGTGTAGTTTGCACTTTCTCCCTCTGCCTGTGGGGTTTCCTCCGGGTGCTCCTGTTTCCTCCCACAGTCCAAAGATGTGCAGGCTAGGTGGATTGACCATGCTAAACTGCCCCATAGTGTCCAGGAATGTGCAGCCTAGGTGGGTTAGTCACGGTGAACATGTAGGGATACGAGGACAGGGTAATTAAGTTTGGGTAGATGCTCTTTGGAGGGTTGGTGTGGACCCATTGGGCCGAATGTCCTGCTTCCACACTGTGGGGATTCTGTGAATCAATAACAGCTTCGTGATCACCCTTAGACTGTTAATTCCAGATCCCACCGTATACCATGGCAAGATTTGAACCTGGGTCTCTGGATTAATATCTAGCAACAATACACTAGGCCACCGCCTCCCCGAAGTCAATAGAGTTTATGAGAAGTATAATCGCTCACCAATATTAGAATGGGGAGATGAAAACTGAGGCAGTATTTCTGAAAATGTCCAATGATGGTGAGCAGTGTATTCTGAAATATAGTACAGACACCATAGTTTGATGGGTTCCTAAATTAGGATGGTTAAGACAGAAAGGTCTAGGTCCTTGCCTCAGGCCTACCCAGTACCCACCCACTATCTGACAACACGCTCTGTAGGTCAGCCTGCTCTTTCCTTCCAGGGTTTTTAAGAATAATAAATAATTCTGCATTGTCGGGTGTCACCTCACAAGCCTAGGATCCTGAGGCTGATTGAAACATCCTTATCATTGACGTGAGCTCCCTACTTTGTAAATAGATTCTTGAAAATCAAGAGGGAAGATCCCTCTAGTTCCCTTTCGTAATGCAGAGCACAGGGATCTCATTTACAGATGGAGATCACAACATGCTTCTACCTGGGGGCCTGAGGCCGAGTAGATCACATCAGTAGATTCATCCACGTGGAGTAGTGCAAAGTGTTCATAGCCGGAGTGATCCTCTGGGATGGAATAGATCTCTTTTCCGGTCAGTAGATTCCACAGGCGCAGCGTATGGTCAAAGGATCCGGACACAGCATGAGCCTTGTTGTGAATCACCTTGATGCACTGTACCTCAGCTATGACAGATAACAATCAAATTGATTAGCAGGGACAGATCCATAAAGACTGATCCTGAATTTTCAAGTTCATCGTGATATCCCACAATTCTGTTTTTCCAATTGTTTTCATGGGATGTGGGTATCACAGGCTATCCCAGGATATATTGCTGCCCCTTGTTGCCCTTAAGAAGGTGGTGGTGAGCTGCCTTCTTGGATCAGTGCTGTAGGTAGACCCACTGCACTGTTAGGGAAGTAATTCTATTATTTTGACCCAGTGATGGTGAAGGAACAATAATATATTTCCAAGTCAGCATGGTGAGTGATTTGGAGGGGAACTCACATGGTATTCCATGTATCTGCTCCTCTTATCCATCTAATGGAAGTGGTCCTAGGTTTGGAAGGTGCTGTCTGAGGATCTTTGGTGAATTTCTGCAGTGCACCTTGTAGATGGTACACACTGCTGCTACTGAGCATCGGTGGTGGAGGGAGTAGATATTGAAGGTGGTGGATGGGGCACATCAGGACAATGTGGTCAGCCCCAAGTTGATAGTTTAACACAAATACAAATTTTTCCTTTTGGACCCTTTCCAGTCTAATTAACCCTTAAAGGAACCTGCATTGCTAACATTGACAATTCTGGCCTTTTCAACAACAAACTTGACCTCAACAAATCTGCAATTGGCATTTGACTTCAACATTTCTTTAATGTTTTCCAACCTTGTCTAGCTCTTGATCTTTCTAGCATTGTCATAACAGTACAGGCCAGAAAGCTGTCTTGGCTTATTGTTGCTTTCATTGGTCAGGGAATTGAGTATAGGAGTTGTGGTTGTACAGGACATTGGTGAGGCCACTTTTGGAATACTGTGTCCAGTTCTGGTCGCCCTTCTATAAGAATGATATTATTAAATTGGAGAGGGTTCAGCAAAGATATACAAGGATGTTATCAGGACTGAAGAGTTTGAGTTATGAGGAGAGACTGGATAGGCTGGGACTATTTACCATGGAGCATCAGAGGCTGAAGGGTGACCTTATAGATGTTTATAAAATCATGAGGGTCATGGATGGGGTGAATAGCCAAGATTGTTTTCCTAGAGTAGGGGAGAGCAAAACTAGAGGGCAAGATTTAAGGCGAGAGGGGGAAGATTTAAAAGGGACCCAAAGGGTAACTTTTTCACACAGAGGGTGGTGCATGTGTGGAACGAACTGCCAGAGGCATTGGTGGTGGCAGGTACAATTACATCATTTAAAAGGGCATCTGGATGGGTAAATGAATAGGAAAGGTTTTGAGGGATATAGACCAAATACTGGCAAATGTGATTGGGTCAGATTGGGATGTGTGGTTAGCGTGGCTGAGTTGGGCCGGAGAGCCTGGTTCCATGCTGTATGACTGTATGACTCTATTTCAAAAATGGCCAGTTGCATGCATATGGGTAATACTTTGACAATCAGGTGGAATCTCCAAAGATAAGCCTTTTAATTTTCTCTACATTTAACGAACAGAACAATGTTCATCTTCCACTGGGGGTTGTTATTTCATATTTGGTTTCATATCAAGTTAAGGTTTTGCCTGACCAGAATGGCCTGTCAGTGTGTGAATCACATCGATATCCAACAGGTTCCATACGATCATCATTCCATCTAGTGAAGCTGCCACCAGCAGTGTGCAGTCTGTACTTAACTCCATTGCAGTCACCCCTGTGGACAGAAGCAAAGGGACGGCTACGTCAATGAGATGCTACAGTAAATTAGAGCTGGCACCCACTGCTAGTTAGCTCACCCTCATGAGCAGTTATTGAAGAGCTCCCATTAAGCTGGGAAGAGAAATCAGCTGTCTTTAGGTGCACTTGACTGAAGCAACTAAGGAATGACTGAGGAATAACAATCATTATTGAGTCATAGAGCACAGAAACAAACATTTCAGACCAACTCTTCCAACACAGTTTCCCAAAATAATATTAGTCCCACTCTCCTGCACTTGGCCCGCATCCTCTAAACCTTTCCTATTCATGGACCTGTCCAAGTGTCTTTTAAAGGTTGTAACTGTACCTGCATCTATCACTTTTTCTGCCAGTTTATTTCTCATGGGAACCACCCTCTGTGTGAAGAAGTTGCCCCTCAGGTTCCTTTCAAATCTTTCTGCTCTCACCTTATACCTATGCCCCCTAGTTTCGAACTCCCCCACCCCAGGGTAAAAATCTGGACTATTCATCCTATCCATGCCCCTCATGATTTTATAAACTTCTATAAGGTCACCCCTCAGCCTCCGACGCTCCAGGGAAAATAGCCCCAGCCTATTCAGCCTCTCATTATAGCTCTTGGAGTAGCAAAAGTTCAGGGATTGGAAAAAAATGAAAAATGAGAGGCAGAGAAAGGAAATTCCATTGAATTATTTGTGAACAGGTTGAAGAGTTCAAATGTTTCAACAGAAATCTTTAAATGTGATCCCTCCTCATTCACATCAACTCACACTATCCTCATCTGATGAAAATCCAACCTTCCAGCATTGGAACCATTCAGGAACTGAATGGCATTTGCTGAAAGAATGTTGGCAGCTTAGCACTGGCAAAGGAAGCTTGAGTGATGTGAGATATTGATTCAATTCGCCCCTGACCAGGTGCCCACCCCTGGGCATGGACCCTACCTCCTCACCCCAACAGGGAAAGCTGGGTGACCCTGCCAACATGATCTTTCAGGAAGATCCTTCAAATTGTTTTATTTCCTTGTCACACAGCTCAAGCATATTTGGAACACTTTTATACCAAAAATACTGAATTTAGTAAGAAGCTGACAAGTATACACCCAATGTAAAGTAAAAACCCTATAGTTCTTTTTGTCATTTTCAGTGATGTTCAATATTGTACAGGTAAAGGTACCTGTAATATTCATTTTTGAAGAGAAACTCATTTTCACATCCATTAATTATGCAGGAACGCATTTTAAGGGAAACAAGAAGGAAGTTATATCCAATACAAACTGAAAGAACTGCAGATGCTGTAAACTCGATCCGAAACTTTAACTCCGATTCCTCTCCACAGATGCTGCCAGACCTGCTGACCTATTCCAGTGATTTCTGTTTTAGTTATACCCAATTGTGTTGGTTCCTGAAAGGTTACGTTTATGAAAATTAATTTTAAAGGGAACCTAAAGAATAAAATAATTATGAATGTAACATGATGAAGTAACAAATAGAATAAATTTAAGGAATATTTTGGGGAACATTTTTCAATTACTTCAAGGCAAGATTTATCCTCATGATTGAGATCGTAAATGATCAAACCCTGAAATAAACAATTGGCGCATTAACTGTGACATATTTAAGAAGTATTTTGGTTTGTATTTCAGCAAGTTTATCATGCTTAGAGTGGTGAAAAGCTTAGAGCTCTGTGTCATCCTGTGTCAGCTAAGAAAATCAGATGCTTTAAGGTGTCACTGAAAGGGGAACATTGGAGCATACCTTTACTGAAACCAGTCAACGTTGTCCGTAGTGGTCCCCCAGGAGGCTGAAAGAAGCCACACAGAGGAGTAAAGATTGGGTTGGGACATGCAGCACACCATCTTTCACATTGCTGGCATAGTTCATCAATCATTGGGTAAGAATCCTTGAAGAAATGGAGGCGAGCCAACATCTCAATGTAAAGGACACTCTGATCTACAAAGAAAATACAAGACACTGGTATTCAACGTTATACAGGACACTTCTTTAGGAATGACTAATCATCTAAGTACTATCCACGGCCATTAGCTCCATCTTAATTGCATTTTTACTGTGACTGATTTGGTTTTGTCAAGCCTGGAGTATTAAATTACACCATTCTTCACGGCTGTGCTAACCCATTCTATACTCTGAAGGACGGTCAACAAATATTTCTGAAACCAATGTTAACTCATTCTGTTCTCTAAGGGACTATTAACCTGGTCCATTTGTTAAGTCAGTGATCAGTACTCTGATCGCTAAGGAGTAATAACACATCGTTCTTCAAGGAAGGGTTAACCTAGTCAAATTTGTCAGTGAACATTAACCCAGTCCTTTCCCTCAGTGAATGTTACGCCAGTCTATTTTCAAAAGGAATGCTAAAATGTTTCATTCTAGCGAGAATAACCCACTTACTTTCTAATGCTAACTTAACCCATTCATTCACTAATGCAGTAATAAGCCACTCGATCCTCCGTGGATATATGAACCCTCTCCGTTCTGTAAGACAGTGACCGTACACTCCATTATCAGCAGTTGCTCTTACCTACTCCATTTTCCATGAAGTCCACAGTAGGCCAGATCAGTAAAAGTGCATCCTGAACAAGCTGCACCTCAGGACAATCAATTTGCTTGGTGCATGCATAAAAATCCTCCAGCAAACCTTTCATTCCTGAGACTTGTATCTTACAAACTATCCAATCCATGTTCCCTGAAAATTCCAAAGAATCCGAGATGTCAGCACAGTGCAGGGAGCTCATGGCCCTGTTAAATCTAAATATATCCTGTGGGAGAATGTGTGGTACTGTTGTGGATTCTGACACTATCTCAGATGGGGAAATGACACTCTGTCGAGAGGTGGTTGCGAGAGATGAATGAAAACAGCAGTTTGTGAAGCGCTGTTGATTGGTAGAGCTGAGACATTTACCAAGCAAAGACTGTTTAAATAAATGTCAAGGCCCAAAACAAAGCAAGGAACTCAAAGATTCTTGTGTTAGTTACTGCTCAAATACAAGTGTAGCACTGAAACAGACAGAGGAGAACGTAAGAGTGGTCCTCAGTTCCACAACAGAGAAGGGTTCTTGTAACCTGAAGAGATTGTTTACTCAAACTCCATGAGTTTTTGTCCATTTGCCTGTTATCTGCATGGGAATACTGACCAGCCCATTAAAACCTTTCAATCTATAATTCTGCATTTTATTGACCCTTTTCTATACTGGTATACAGAACTTATGCAGCATGCTGGTTAGCACTGCTGTCTCTCAGCACCAGGGACCTGCGTTTGATTCCAGCCTTGGGTGACTGTCTGTGCAGAGTTTGCACATTCTCCCAGTGTCTGCGTGGGTTTCCTCCGTGTGCTCCGGTTTCCTCCCACAGTCCAAGCTTGTGTTTTCAAATTAACTTATTGGACTATAACCTGGTGTCGTGTGAATTCTGACTTTGTCCACCCCAGTCCAACACCGGCACCTCCACATCACAGTCCAAATATGCAGGTTAGATGGACTGGCCCTGAGAAATGCAGGGTTATAGGGAAAGCGTAGGGGCTGTGGGCCTGGATGGGAAATTTTTTGGATGCTCATTGCGGACTCAATGAGCTGAATGGCCTGCTTCCACACTGTAGGGATTCTATGATTTATATATCATGTATGTAGATAAGTGCACACATGTCTATGTTGTGTGTGTGTGTACATGGACGTGTATGTTGTGTGTGTGTGTGTACGTGGACGTGTATGTTGTGTGTGTGTGTGTGTGTGTGTACATGGATGTGTATGTTTTGTGTGTGTGTACATGGACGTGTATGCTGTGTGTGTGTACATGGATGTGTATGTTGTGTGTGTGTACATGGACGTGTATGTTGTGTGTGTGTGTACGTGGATGTGTATGTTGTGTGTGTGTGTGTATGTACATGGATGTGTATGTTGTGTGCGTGCACATGGACGTGTATGTTGTGTGTGTGTGTGTACATGGACGTGTATGTTGTGTGTGTGCATATGGACGTGTATGTTGTGTATGTGTACATGGACGTATATGTTGTGTGTGTGTGTGTACATGGATGTGTATGTTGTCTGTGTGCACATGGACGTGTATGTTGTGTGTGTGTACATGGTTGTGCATGTTGTGTGTGTGTGTGCACATGGACGTGTATGTTGTGTGTGTGTACATGGATGTGCATGTTGTGTGTGTGTGTGTGTGTGTGTGTGTGTGTGTGTGTGTGTGTGTACATAAGAACATAAGAACTAGGAGCAGGAGTAGGCCGTCTGGCCCTTCGAGCCTGCTCTGCCATTCAATAAGATCATGGCTGATCCTTTCGTGGATTCAGATCCACTTACCCGCGTTCTCACCGTATCCCTTAATTCCTTTATTGTTCAAAAAAAAATCTACCTTTTTTTTAAAAGCTTTTACTGAAGTAGCGTCAACTACTTCACTGGGCAAGGAATTCCATAGATTAACAACCCTCTGGGTGAAGAAATTCCTTCTCAGTTCAGTCCTAAATCTGCTCCCTCTAATCTTGAGGCTATGCCCTCTTGTCCTAGCTTCACCTGCCAGTGGAAACATCCTCTCTACTTCTATCTTATCTATTCCCTTCATAATTTTACATGTTTCTATAAGATCCCCCCTCAATCTTCTGAATTCCAATGAATATAATCCCAATCTACTCAGTCTCTCCTCATAAGCCAACCCCCTCAACTCTGGAATCAACCTAGTGAACCTCCTTTGCACCCCCTCCAGTGCCAGTACATCCTTTCTCAAGTAAGGAGACCAAAACTGCACACAGTACTCCAGGTGTGGCCTCACCAGCACCTTGTACAGCTGCAACATAACCTCTCTGCTTTTTATTTCAATCCCTTTAGCAATGAAGGACAAAATTCCATTTGCCTTCCTAATTACTTGTTGTACCTGCAGACCTACCTTCTGTGATTCATGCACAAGGACACCCAGGTCCCTCTGCACAGCAGCATGCTGCAACTTTTTACCATTCAAGTAATAATCCTTTTTAATATTACTCCTACCAAAATGTATGACTTCACATTTATTTACATTGTATTCTATCTGCCAGACCTTTGCCCACTCACTCAATGTATCTACGTTCCTCTGCAAAGTTTCACAGTCCTCTGCACACTTTGCTTTGCCACTCATCTTAGTGTCATCTGCAAACTTTGACACCCTACACGTGGTCCCCAGCTCCAAATCATCTATATAAATTGTAAATAATTGCGGTCCCAACACCGATCCCTGAGGCACACCACTAGTCACTGACTGCCAGCTAGAATAGCACTCATTTATCCCCACTCTTTGCTTCCTGTTAGTCAACCAATCCTCTATCCATGCTAATACTTTACCCCTAATGCCATGCATCCTTATCTTATGCAGTCGCCTCTTGGGCGGCACCTTGTCAAAGGCCTTTTGGAAGTCTAGGTACACCACATCCACTGGGTCCCCATTGTCCACCTTGCTCGTAATGTCTTCATAGAATTCCAGAAGATTTGTCAAGCATGACCTGCCCTTCATGAACCCATGCTGCGTCAATTTCTATCAAGATGCCTTGCTATTTCTTCCTTGATAACAGACTCAAGCATCTTCCCCACTACAGAGGTTAAGCTAACTGGTCTATAATTCCCCATCTTTTGTCTACTTCCCTTTTTAAACAGTGGCGTCACATTTGCTGTTTTCCAATCTGCTGGGACTGCCCCAGAGTCCAGCGAATTTTGGAAAATTACCACCAGTGCCCCTGCTATTTCTCCCGCCATCTCTTTTAGTACCCTGGGATGCATTCCATCAGGGCCAGGAGACTTATCAATCCTTAGCTCCATTAGCTTACCCAATACTACCTCTTCCGTAATTATGATTGTTTCCAGGTCCTCACCTACCTTCATCTCTTTGTCTATTACTGGCATGTTATTAGTGTCTTCCACTGTGAAGACCGATACAAAATACCTGTTCAATGCCTCGGCCATTTCATCATATCCCATAACTAAATTCCCCTTCTCATGCTCTAAAGGGCCAATGTTTACTTTAGCCACTCTTTTTTGTTTTATATATTTATATAAACTTTTCCTATCTGTCTTTATATTCTGTGCTAGTTTTTTCTCATGTTCTATCTTACTTTTCCTTATAGCTCTTTTTGTGGCTTTCTGTTGACCTTTAAGGTTTTCCCAATCTTCTAGTTTCATGCTGTTTTTGGCCACTTTGTATGCCTTCTCTTTCAATTTGATAGCCTCCCTTATTTCTTTAGACACCCATGGCAGATTACCCCTTTGCTTACATCCTTCCTTTTCATTGGAATATACTTTTGCTGAGCACTTTGAAAGATTGCTTTGAAAGTCCTCCACTGCTCGTCAACTGTCCCACCATAAAATCTTTGTTTCCAGTTTACTTTAGCCAAGTCCTCCCTCATTCTATTGTAGTTCCCCTTGTTCAAGCACAGGACCCTTGTATTGGATTGTACAGGACCCATCTGTATTCTAAATTCAACCATACTGTGATCACTCCTTCCAAGAGGATCCTTAACTATGAGGTCATTAATTATTCCTGTCTCATTACACAGGACCAGGTCTAGGATAGCTTGCTCCCGCGTTGGTTCCATTACATACTGTTCAAGAAAACTATCACGGATACACTTAACGAACTCCTCCTCAAGGCTACCCTGACCGAGCTGGTTCGACCAATCTACATGTAGGTTAAAATCCCCCATGATAATTGCCGTACCATTTTTACAGGCATTAGTTATTTCTTTGTTTATTGCCCGCCCCAATGTGATATTATTATTTGGTGGCCTATAGACTACGCCTATCAGTGACTTTTTCCTCTTAGAATTTCTAATTTCCACCCAAATGGATTCAACCTCATTCTCCATAGAACCTATATCATCTCTCAGCACCGCCCTGATGGCGTCCTTGAATATCAGGGCTACACCACCTCCCTTACCTTCCTGTCTGTCCTTCCGAATAGCCTGGTACCCTTGGATATTTAACTCCCAGTCGTGACCATCCTGTAACCATGTCTCAGTAATGGCTACCAAATCATATTCATTCGCGATGATTTGTGCCATTAACTCATCAACCTTGTTACGAATTCTACGAGTATTCAGGTAAAGTGCCTTTATGCTAGCTTTCTTACCCTCATGATTTCCAACATCTCTAATAATATCTCCTGAGTTATCCTTCCTTTTTGCTTCTTTCATAGTCTGCCTTGAACTTAAACCCTCCTGCACACATGCTAACCTGCTGCTTACCTTTTTATTTACCATCATACTCCCTGTCGTTTTCCCTTTCCCTTCCCCCCAACTCACTAGTTTAAAGTCCTAGTGACCACCCTATTTATCCTTTTCGCAAGAACACTGGTTCCAGATTGGTTCAGGTGGAGACCGTCCCATCGGTACAGATCCCTCCGGTTCCAAAACTGATGCCAATGCCCCATGAAATGGAACCCCTCTTTCCCACACCACTCCCTTAGCCACGTGTTTACTTCCCTAATTTTCTTATCCCTAAGCCAATTTGCACGTGGCTCGGGCAGTAATCCGGAGATTATGACCCTCGAGGACCTGTTCCTTAATTTCGTTTCTAGTGCTTGTGTACATGGACGTGTATGTTGTGTGTGTGTACATGGACATGTATGTTGTGTGTGTGTACATGGACGTGTAGGTTGTGTGTGTGTACATGGACGTGTATGTTGTGTGTGTGTGTACATGGACGTGTATGTTGTGTGTGTGTACATGGACATGTATGTTGTGTGTGTGTACATGGACGTGTAGGTTGTGTGTGTGTGTACATGGACATGTGTGGATCTGAGGGTACTCTATACAGTCAGTGAAGTACTTTCAAAACGTAGTCACTGTTACCTTATAAGAAACACAACAGCTATTTTGGGCATTGCAAGCTCACACAGACAGCAATATGATAAATAAACAGGATATCCTGGCGTACTGAATATAACACATTGACATCACCTTGATATAATGTCAAATATCCATTAGAATGATGGGTGATCGGGGGTTGAAGGTCAGCCAGAATATTCATGAATTCCCTTGCTTTTCTTGAAATAGTGCCTGGGGATTTTGACACCTCTGAGATGACAGATTTGATTTAACGTCTTTGTTAAATTTCAGCATCCCGTACAGAGCAGCATTCCCTCAGTGCAGCACTGGTAACAAGGTCCTCACATTTCTGGACTGGGAATTGAACCCATGACAGTTAGGGCTGGCTGATGCTAATTGGTCATTCCTCTGGCCCACAGGACAATCACTGATGGTTACGTAAGTGGTCACCTTAGCTCAATGGTTCAAAACCTCCACTCACTGCCCAGATTATGTCCCGAATACAATACACATACAGTGTGTCCCAAAATAGCGGGCACTGTGATTCAGATCGTTCAGTACAGAATGTCCTCCCTAGTGTGAGGTTAAAAGCTCTTCCTTACCAAGAACCTCCTGTTTCAGCTCCTCAATGCGCCCCCCATTCAGCAGATGGTGCGGCAGTTCACGCAGTTTCCTCAAGTTCAGAACATCATCGCCAAATCTCAGTGGCTGAGCAGAGACCTGGTCCAGAATAAAGGTTCAATTCACAATCACTAAATTCTGCCAGAACTCTGGCTCCTGAAGCGGGGGTTTGGGACAGGGACCAGGATTGTGTCCAATGTTTCATGTCCAAGCTGACTTCTGATGGGCAAAGTAACAGAGGACTGAGAGGTGTCAACCACAATCTGTTTGACTCTGAGGCTAGAGTGCAACAATTGAGCTCGGGCTGATTCCATTCTTGATGGCTACCCTTCTGGCCCTGGGCTAGTAGCTATTGTGATTATGAGCTTTTTGTCATTCTGGGACCTTGATCAGATGGACTAGTGGGCCGAGGAGTGGCAGTTAGAGTTTAATATAAACAGATGTAAAGTGTTGCATTTTGGGAAGGCAAACCAGAGCAGGACTTGTACAGCAAATGGTAGGGCCCTGGGGAGTGTTGTTGAACAGACAGACCTAGGGGTACAGGTGCATTGCTCCTTAAAAGTGGAGTCACAGGTAGACAGGATAGTGAAGAAGGTGTTTGGTACACTTGCCTTCATTGGTCAGTGTGTTGAGTATAGGATTTGGGAGGTCATGTTGCAGCTGTACAGGACATTGGTGAGGCCACTTTTAGAATATTGCATTCAATTCTGATCCCCCTGATATAGGAAGTATGTTGTTAAACTTGAGAAGGTGCAGAAAAGATTTATAAGGAAGTTGCCAGGTTTGGAGGGTTCAAGCTATAGGGAGAGGCTGAATAGGCTGGGGCTATTTTCCCTGTAGTGTTGGAGGCTGAGGGGTGACCTTATAGAGGTTTATAAAATCATGAGAGGCATGGATAGGGTGAATAGCCAAGGTCTTTTCCCATAATAGGGGAGTCCAAAACTAGAGGGCGTAGGTTTAAGGTGAGAAGGGAAAGATTTAAAAGGGGCCGAAGGGGAAACTTTTTCACACAGAGGGTGGTGTGTGTATGGAATGAGCTGCTAAAGGAAGTGGTGCAGGCTGATACAATGACAACATTTAAAAGATATCTGATGAGTATGTAAATAGGAAGGGTTTAGAAGGATATAGGCCAAATGCTGTCAAATGGGACTAGGTCAGATTGGCATGTCTGGTTGGTATGGACGAGTTCAATTGAAGGGTCTGATTCCGTGTTGTACATCTCTATAACTCACTGCTGAAGATCTCAGATCATTTGACACTGGCCTCTCTCACAGTCATATCATCTCATATCCCTTGCTGCCGTAGCTTCTTTTTAACTCCTGTCTGACTTAAATACATCTCAAACACAGCTTATCAAAATATATGTTAATTGTACATAAGGCATGGGCAACGCTGACTGGGCCAGCATTTATTGCCCATCCCTAATTACCCTGGAGAAGGTGGTAGTGAGCTGCTTACTTTAACCACTGTAGGTAGACCCACAACGCTGTAAGAGAGGGTATTCAGGATTTTGACCTGACAACAGTGAAGGAAAGGTGAGATATTTCCAAGTCTGGATGATGATTGACTTGGAGGGGAACTCAATGGTGCTGGTGTTCCCATGTATCTGCTTCCCTTGTCCTTCTAGGTGGAAGTGGTTGTGGGTTTGGAAGGTGCCGTCTGAGGATCTTTGGTGAATTTCTGCAGTGCATCTTGTAGATAGTACACACTGTTGCTACTGAGCATCAGTGGTGGAGGGAGTGGATGCTTGTGGCCAATCAAGAGGGGGCTGCTTTGTCCTGGATGGTGCCAATATCACGAGTGTTGTTGGGGCTGCACTCATCCAGGCAAGTGGGAGTATTCCATCACAATCCTGACTTGTGCCTTGTAGATGGTGGACTGTGAACTCAGTGAGCAGTGGTTTGTTGAACAATCAGTGCAGGGAAGCGTAGTCTGGGTGAAAAGTACCTTCCTGTCTGCAACCAGAGTGTCCTTCAAGAGTGGGAGTGTGATGCTCTTCTTGTTGCCATGACTCCATGTACCCTTGAAATAATCAGCCAGCACCGAGTGGCGTTTGGTTTTCTCTTCTGCCTGGAGGTACAGCTCATGCACCACCTCTGTGAACTGTCTGAAACAAAGCACAGGAACCGTTGTGTAAGTCTGTCAGCTGGGTGTGACACACTGTCGTGTTAAAGTTAACTGACATAGTCACTTAAATTCATACTGTACCTGTCTGCAACAGGGGCCTACTGCAGGGTGACAGGCCTAAAATACTGCAGGCTCAGTCATGAGGAGGTGGCGGGGGGCAGGTGAGGGGGGGCCTTCGGTTGATTGCAAAGATCAGCTGATTCCTTTAGGGTTTGTCCCTGCAGGAGTGAGAGGGGAGAGATTCCAAGCTACACCAACACCCCCCACCCCCCTACTGAGCTATCTTTCATGTTGTGGGCCTGGAGATTAGGCTGGCTCAGGGCCTGAGTCGCTGAAGAGCACACGGGGGCGGGGGTGGTGTGGGGCGTCAACACCAGCACTGAGCCGGGGGTGAGCTTCCCTGTTTCCCCAGGGCTTGACACGATAAGTCACGACTAAAGTGTCACACTTCCCTTCCCAGTTGCTGGTTTTCAAAATGGCCACTTTGGCTGCCATCGCCTGAGCCAAGAGCAACCAAAGGGCAATTGGAACACAGGGAAATGGTGGTGTAGTAATCCAGTCTGAGGGCCGTGGTTCAAATCCCACTAAAGCAGCTGGAGGAACTTAAATTTAATTCTAAAAAACTCCTGGAACATAAGATAAAGTGACCATGACAACTGTCATCGATTGTTGTAAAAATCCATCCACTCCCAGGAACAAAAATCCACCACTCATAGCCAGACTGGCCCTACATGTAACTCCAGACCCACAGCAATACAGTTAACAATGGCCTAGCTAGTCGCTTAACTCCACCAGGGATGGGGCAACAAATGCCATCCTTGCCAATGATGCCCACAGCCCACGAAGAAATAAAAAGACACTAGGTTCACCATCTACAGATGTTGTGCCCAGCTGTGTGCAATATAAGCTGTGTCTCTATAAGCGGCCCTTCTCCAATACTATGGTTACTCCACGGAGAGAGAATATTGGAAACCAACTGAGTGAGACCTCCCAACTGACAGGTATCAGGATAGAACTGGAACAAGCTCAAAAACAAAGACAGACAATGATATTTGGAAGTAGAAGCAAAATTTGAGAAGGTAACAGAGGAGGAAAAGTTGCGAAGTTGGAGGCCAGTTGGAAAATGTCCATTGTATGAGAGGGTTGAAATCCTAATGGGTGCAAATGTGAAAACAAAAATAGGGATGGTAGAGTGAAAAGAAATGAAGAAAGATTTGCATTTATGTAGCACCTTTCACAATCACTGGATGTCTCAAAGCACTTAAACCACTTTTGATGTGGGATGACTGTTGTGGCATGGCAACCAATTAGCGCACAGGCAGCTCCAACAAACAACGGTGCGATGATGGCCCAGAAAATCTGTTTGTGTGATGTTAAAGGTAAATAACAGATGGGACAGTAGGGACTGCTCCTTTTCCCTTCTTCCAGACAGTACCATTAGGATCTTTCCCATTAAACTGAGCCAACAGACAGAGGTTTGTCCCATCTCATCTAACACTGTGGAAGTCCTTCTGTACTGAGCCTAAACATTGTGCTTGAGAGGGGCTTGAAGCGTCTGGCTCAGAGACAGACTCTACAAACTGAGCCTCTGCTGGCATTCAACACAGGAAAGGCATTCAACACAGGAAAGGTAGTGCTGCAGATGGAGATTCAGAGGAGAACTCAAACAGTTACCGGTGATAAAGGCCGAACACTGGGAACCCATCTGCCTGCCTCTCCACCAAGTACTCCCCAATGTCGTAGCGAAGCCGGGTCCACAGTAAGGGAGGGAGGCAGACGATGTCTTTGTTCGGAGGGGACCAGTACTGGTAGATGTCACCGAGCACTTCATCATCCAACGAGAGGACCTCCTTTAGCTCACTCTCTGACAGTCCATTCCTGTAACGTCAAGGTGCCAGATTGTAATGGAACAATGAGCTGTGCTGTAACCGCATCATACATTGCAACAACAACTCAGATTTCTGCAGTGCCTTTCACATATGACATCCCAAGGCAATTCACAAGAGTATTACAAAACATTGAGCCTCAGGCAGAAGTATTAGATCGCATGACCAAAGTTAATGACTGTTTTCTCATTTGTTACATTTGTTTATAACTTTATTTGAACTTAAGAAGTAAAAGTGGTAACTATTAATTGCCTGAACACATGTCTATAGGGAGTACCAACAATGGGGGTAGAGTGAGCTATAAGACTAAGTAGTCAATAAATGCAAACCACAAAAGGACGTGTCTTGGTTTGGATGCAGATTGACCGCACCTATTTCTTTCTGCTCACACACTGTTAGCTCCGGTGTCCCCTGAGGATCAATCCATGGTCCCTTCCTCTTTCTCAGTGAAACGCATTTATTTCCACATGTACACTGACAGCCTCCAAATTTACCTGTCCATTTCTCCGCCGCTGTTATATTATCAGGCTGCTTTGTCAACATCCAGTCATGAGCAAAGACTCTCTGGCAATTACACTTCGGGAAGGCTGACGACATTGTTTTCGCTCCCTGCTCTAAAACTCCACTTTCTGTCCAGAGAGGTCAGAGTGTGGAGGAGAGGGGAAGAGGTATAAAGAGGGAATTCTAGAGCTGAGGGCCCAGACAACTGTAAACAGGTGGAGAAACTCAATTTGGGTACAGAAAACTTGGAGACTTATAGGATTAAAGGATGTTACTGAGATAGTCCATGCGGGGATTTACAAACAAGATGCGTGTTTTAAATTCAAGGCAATTCTTGGTCAATGTAGGTCAGTGAGCATGGAGGGAGAGGGCACAATAGGGACTCGGGATTTTCTGCAAGTTAAGACACAGACAGTGGAGGTTAAGTTGACTCAAGCTTATAGGAGATAGAATGGGGGAGGCCAGCCCAAGGATATGTTGCATAAAGCTGTTAGTGCATGAAAGAGTTAAATGAAGGGATGATCCACCCATAAGATTGTAAGGTACTGGCCCCAGGAGGAGCTACCCAAAGGGTGTGTGTTTGAGTAATCCTGTGATTGAGCACTAGTTGCAAGTGCTGAGATCTGTTTGGCAGACAGTAATGCCTACTTACTCTTAAGTCACAGAATCACAGAAGTGTTACAGCACAGAACAAGGCCATTTGGCCCGTCGTGCCTGTGCCAGCCCTTCAAATGAGCATCATTACCTCGTGTCAATCAGCTGCCTTTTTCCCATATTCCTCTCATGCTATTTCTATCCAAATAATCATCCAAAGGCCTCTCTTGAATGCCTCAATTGAACGTGCCTCCCCCATGTCTCCAGGCAGGACACTAACTACTCGCTGTGTGAAAAAAAGGTTTTCTCACATCATCCCTGCTTCTTTTGCAATCACCACAAATCTGTGCTCTCTCGCTTTCGTTCCTTCTACAAGTGGGAACAGCTTCTCCCTAATCCAGTTCACTCATGATTTTGAAAACCTATATCAGATATCCTCTCAACCATCTTCTCTCCAAGGAGAACAGTGCCAAGTACTTCAATCCATCCTCAATACTGGAGTCTCTCATTCCTGGAACTATTCTTGTAAATCACTTCTGCACACTCTCCAATACATTCACACCTTCCATATAATTGCAGTGCCCACAATTGTATACAATGCTCGAGCTGAAATCGAACAAGTGTATTATATACTTCAATGTCATCTCCTTCCTGTTGTACTATATGCCCCTATTCGTAAACCAAAAACGCTGTATGCAATATACAGAGTTCATGTTTAGCCCAATATGAGTATGTCATGAAGAAGAGTCATATCGAATTTGAAACATAAACTCTGCTTTCTTTGTCCACAGATGCTGCCAGACCTGCTGAGTTTCTCCGACGATTTCTGGTCATTATATGTAAAAAACATTTACTGTTTAGCAACATTGAGCCTATCGTCATGTGCACATCCTTCGCCACTTGGTGTTCGTAGGCTAGACTCATACCAATAAGAGATTGGTGACAGTGAACCTGACCAAAACATCTCAGATAGCTCTGATGGAGCACCACAATATAAACCATGCTAACCAAGGCAGCTTTTGTCCTATGTACTGGGGACAGTCAAGTCTAGAAGTAAAGGTTATGCACGAGGTGTTGCATTTTGTAAAGGCAAAGCAGGGCAGGACTTATACACTTAATGATACGGTCATGGGGAGTGTTGCTGAACAAAGAGACCATGGGGTGCAGGTTCATAGTTCCTTGAAAGTGAAGTTGCAGGTAAACAGAATAGTGAAGAAGGTGTTTGGTATGTTGCCTTTATTGGTCAGTGCATTGAGTATAGGAATTGGGAGGTCATGTTGCAGTTGTACAGGATATTGGTTAGGTCACTTTTGGAACACTGCATTCAATTCTGGTCTCCCTGCTTTGGAAGGATGTTGTTAAATTAGAAAGGGTGCAGAAAAACCTGATGCCGGGGTTGGAGGGTTTGTGCTACACGGAGAAGCTGAATAAGCTGGGGCTATTTTCCCTGGAGCATCGGAGGCTGTGGGGTAAGTTTGTAGAGGTTTATAAAATCATGAAGGGCATGGATAGGGTAAATAGCCAGGTCTTTTCCCTGGGGTGGGGGAGTCCAAAACTAGAGGCCATAGGTTTACGGTGAGAGGGGAAAGATTTAAAAGGAATCTGAGGGAAAACTTTTTCACACAGAGGGTAGTGTGTGCATGGAATGAGCTGCCAGAGGAAGTGGTAGAGGCTGGTCCAATTACAATATTTAAAAGGCATCTGGATGGGTATATGAATAGGAAGGTTTAGAAAGTTATGGGCCAAAGGCTGGCAAATGGAACTGGATTAATTTAGGACATCTGGTCAGTATGGATGAGTTGAACCAACGGCTCCTTTTTTTAAACTGTAGAGCTCTAAGGAGCAGTATCTCTCAGCAAAACCAACCTCGAGCATGTGATGTATCCCAGGGCGTGCGAGACAAATACCCGGCCGTGCCTCTTCTCGAGGCGTGAGTATAAGAGGCGCACGGCGTCCCGCGTGCCCACAGCTACGTCCAGCTCCGAGGCCGGCACATACGAGCTCCACCTCTTGGCCTCGTCGAAGGTCAGCTTGAGCATGAGGGGCTGGCCACAGTTGCGGAAACGCTCCAGGATGAGGTCTCGCTGCTCGGTGGTGAGCCTCCTGTTCACCGTGCTCAGCAGCAGGTCGATGAGCTCTCGGCCGTGCTGGCTGGACAAAGCCTGCACTTTGAAGTGGCACTCAGGCCTTGGGATCACCTCCTGCAGCACAGCCAAGATGTTGTGCTCCTTGGGCAAAGTGGAGACGATGATGTGGACCTTTGCGGGGCATACCTTCGGCAGCCAATGGAGCCTGTGAGCTCCGTCATTGGAAGATAACTGGTCCAGAGAGTCGAAGAGAAGGACTAGGGCCTCTTGGTTTCTCTTGGACACCGTGCTCAGGAGACTGTGGAAGAATCGGACCAGCTCAGCATAAGAGTTGGTGACGTGGGCTGCAGGCAGTTTGAGCCTGAAGGCCAGGCACACTTGGAAGCAGACACTCTTCAGCACTGAGTGTATGTCTGAGCTCAGGGCCGATGTACCCAGCAGCCTGGTGACCACCACGCAGCCTTTCCTGAACGTTTTCCTCACCTCCTCGGCCAGCTTCGACATCACCGCTGTCTTTCCTGTCCCCGATGCCCCGTGGACAACCATCGGCCAGTGGGCGCTCCTGTCGTGCAGCTCAAGACATTGGCCAATGTCGCTGAGGAGCCGCGAGCGCCCGCAGAAGACGCTGCGCTTGGCCCTACACAGATGCCCGTGGTGGCGCAGTTCCTCGAAGAGCCAGGCTGGTTCCTCCTGGGCTCCACGTTGTGCCACCAACTTTGCCTGGATCTGCTGCTTCATGTCCTCCACAAAGTTCTGGCACAGGTCGTCGAGATACTCGTCGTGAGCTTGGCTCTGCACGTCCAGCACTCCGCCTGACCACGGCACCCAGTGCACCCGTAGGCTCCTGGCAGACTTGCTGACAATTTGGGCCTTTAGGCTGGTGAGTAGCTCCTGGGCCTCCATGTCGACGCTCCCGTCATCTTTAACATCAATGAATTTGGGCAGCTGCTTTTGGTCAAACTGATCCGGGAGATTGGCGATGTCGCGGACAAACACCGAAGAGCACAAGTCCCCTTCTCTTGTTTCGCCTAAGCCCCGGTCGATCTCAAACTCAGTAACTGCAGCACAGTGGAGGGGTGGGGGAGGGACCATTATTAGACTTGAACAATAGTCAGTAGCAATCATTCAACTAGTAACAGTGAGATGGAGACCTGAGTTCATCTAGATTACCCCGCACAAAGTCGGTGGGAGTAGAATTGAATTGGCAGCTACAGGAATGAAGGGTGGAAGTCATTGGAATGATGTAGGTATTCCCTGTTCAGTTGGACGATGGTTAAGCTGTGGTTGAACATTATCTACTCTGTACAATGTGGTTGAGTCTGGGATCAGCAGGATCACTGATACAGGTAGTGAGGGTTAACCGGGGAGATGGTTGTAAAATGATATAGTAGTGGGCCTTCTTGTAATGGGATGCAACAGTGAGAAGGTCCCCTGAGCAAAATAGCTCATGTAGACCCTTCCTGGAGAAAAGATTTAGCTTTGTCAGGGAGAAGTTTTGTGCAGAGAGACAGACAGAAAAAGGATCCCTGAACCAAGAATCAGGTTGAGAATATAGGAGCCATGGTTAGTAAGTTTGCAGATACAGCAAAATTGGTGGCATAGAGAACATTGACGAAGGTTACCTAAGATTACAAAGAGATCTTGATCAATTGGCTCAATGGACTGAGGAATGGGAGATGGAGTTTAATTTGGATAAATGTGAAGTATTGCATTTTGGTAAAACAAAGAATGACAGGACTTATACAGTTAATGGTAGGGCCTTGGGTAATGTTGCAGAACAGAAGGATCTAGGGGTTCAGGTACATAATTCTTTGAAGTTTGCCTCACATGGTGACAGGGTGGTTAAGAAGGTATTTAGCATGCTTGCCTTCATTGCTCAGCATACGAGTTGGGTCGTTATGTTGACATTGTACAGGACGTTGGTGAGGTCTGTTCTGGAATATCGTGTCCAGTTCTGGTCGCCCTGTTATAGGAAGGATATTATTAACCTGGAGAGGGTTCAAAAAGGATTTACCAGGATGTTACCAGGAATGGAAGGCTTGAAAAATAAAAATAGATTGGAAGGGCTGGGACTTTTTTCAATAGAAAGTAGGAGGTTTAGGGTGACCTTATTGAAGTTTATAAAATCATGAGGGGCATAGATAGGATGAATGACAAGGGTCACTTCCTTAGGGTGGGGGAGCTCAAAACTAGGGAGCATATTTTTAAGGTGAGAGGAGAAAGATTTAAAAAGGACATGAGGAGCAACTTTTTTACACAGAGAGTGGATCATGTGTGGAGTGAGCTGTCAGAGGAAGTGGTGGATGTGGGTACAGTTACAAAGTTTTAAAAAGGATATGAGGGACAACGTTTTTACACAGAGAGTCCTTTGTGCATGAATGAACTCCCAGAGAAAATGATGGTTGCAGGTACAGTTATAATATTTAAAAGACATTTGGATAAGCTCATGAATAGGAAAGGTTTGGAGGGATATGGGCCAAGAGCAGGCGGGTGGGACTAGTTTAGTTTGGGAACATGGTTGGCATGGACTAGTTGGACTGAAGGGTTTGTTTTCATACTGTATGACTCTCTGTAACTCTAAGATATATTATTACAGGCCCAATGGAATAACAGATCCTGCCTCTTGGTTTTCAGGTTCTGACTGTGTTTAACCTCTCATTACAGTCATGTTGATGATTTAGTAATCTAGAGGCTGGGACTAATGTTCAGGAGAGCATGAGTTCAAAACCCTCCATAAATTATGGGAATTTAAATTCAATGAATAATCTGGGAAATACTAGTCTCATTTATGATGATTGTGAAGTGACTAGATTTTGATAATAAAGCCGGGCGGGGCTGGGGGAGAGGGAAGAGATTGAGCCTACGTGACTCCAGACACGCAAGAATGCAGTTAACTCTTAAGGTGAAAGGGCCCAGCAAACCACTCACTTCCAGGGCAATTAGGGACGGGCAACAAATGCTAGTCTTGCCAGTCCTTTGGGAACCTTGGGTAACATTCTTTTGCTTTCTAAGGGGAGGGGAGTTACGCTGTCCAGGATGGGCACAATCTGATGTGTCAGGAGGAGTGAGGCCCGAGGTGTGTGCTGCCTACCTGATTTGAAATACTTGTGCCTTGCTCCTTTTGGTATTCGTCCCTCTTTCTCTGCCTGGGTGGCCGCTAGGCGCAGGAGATTGGCAATGCGCTGCTGGAGCTCAGACCAGGATCGCAGGGCCTTCTCGTGCTCCTCCTGCCTCTCAGCTCTCGTCTCGCCGTAGTCCAGGAGATGTGTGGTGATAGGTTGGAGGATGTACACAGGTGGAACCGCATTCTCGTCTTTCCAGAACCAGTCCCGAAGCAGCTTCAAGGACTGGGAATCGGAAGAGTATTTCAGGAGTAGCTCCTCAAACTCTTCGCCCTCAATGACTCGGGGGATGGGGCGAAATCCGTAGCGATTGCCCACCAGAGCCTGCCAGATTTCGATAAGCACTGGGATCAGTGATGGATCACAGCCCGTCAAAATCAAACCATCGTTTACAAAAACCGAGGAGAACAATGAAAAGTCGAGAAAATGACTTACAATAAAAGTGGGCCCCAGTGACATCCTTTTACAAGATTCGATCTCTCTCAGGCACAGTTCTGTGCTCATGTGGTCAGTAGTCAGTGTATTTGGTACTCCCCAGCGCATGTCAACTACCTGGCAAGATTTGGGGTGAACATAGTTACCCTGTGTTCCTGCATTAACAAGGGGCAGTTCTCTGTGTGTATGTTAATCCTAAGAATGGTGGGTGGGTGGTTAAAATCGTTTGTCTTTAGATTGACTTTGCAACAATTTCGAAATTTCCAAAAGGCTCAGGAGAAATCAAAAGCTGAACTAACGCGGTACCTATTGCATCAATCAATGTCCTTCAGGGGCAGGTTGTCTGAAATGGATTTTTCAGTTCACCAACTTTAGCAAGTGATTCTCAAAGCCCTGGCAGTGGAGGGTCAATGAGAACTGCTCCATTGCAGAAAGGTAGTGCCTTTCCAGCACAGCTTGTGGGCTTGGGTGACCAGGTGATTCCCCATCACGTGATGCGAGCCCCACCCTCCCCAGAGTGTGTCTCCACTCCATCATTGCTCCCCTGCCACATTCAAACTCCCGTGTCCAACTCTGAAGTCACTGTGTCCAGCACGACCCCCATACCCACTCCATGTCACAATCTGTCCACACTGCAAACTCTCTCTGTCACACTCTCCCTCCCTTACACACCCTCCCTCATGCTCAATCTCCAATGCGCTCCCTCTCCTTCACAGTCCTCTCCTTCTCCCTCAAACTTCCTATCCCTCACCACTCCTTCTCAATCACACTCCATCTCCCTCATGCTACCTCTCTCAAGCTCAATCTTCCTCACACTCCATTTGCCACACACTCCATTTCCCTCACACTACCTCTGCCTCAGACTGAAACTCCCTCTTACTCCATTTCCCTCACACTCCCTCTGCCTCAGACTGAAACTCCCTCATACTCCATTTCCCTCACATTCCCTCTGCCTCTGACTGAAACTCCCTCATACTCCATTTCCCTCCGCCTCAAACTGAAGCTCCCTCATACTCCATTTCCCTCACACTCCCTCTGCCTCAGTCTGCTTCATTTCCCTCATGCTGAATCTCCCTCACCCACCCTCTCCACCTCCATTTCCTTTTCCCATTACACACCCCTTTCCTGCCCTCTCCCCTCTCTGTCCTTCATCCTTCCTCTCTCTCTCTCAAACACACAAACACTCTCTCCCATCACAATCCCCCTTTACCCGGTGAATAGTTAAGTTAGCACTATAGGCTTAACTGAGGAAGAGAATAGATCCCTTGAGATATTTTCCCCCAGCTGAACAATGGTCTGACTCACCTCAAAGACTAGGCCCAATTTCTGACAGAATTCCTGTACCTCTGGGTAGGCCTTGTCCAGGAGAGCATCACGCTCCATGCTCATATCTGGAAAACACAGCAAGAGCTAGTGACTGTCTATTGTGTATGAGCAGCCTGCTCTGGGGCTGGGCCATAAAACTACAGCCTAATTTGAGAATGTTGGGCCTGGGAGATACAGATCTTGACAGAGCTGGTCAGAAAGTGACAGCTGGAAAGAACTTCCACGTAGGAGAGTCTTTCCATCTTGACTTGGGGCATTCCAAATTGCATTAAAATGTATGGATTTGTTTGAGGTGTGGTCAGTAATGTCGGAAACATGCAGCCAATTGGCATGTGACATCTTCCTCCAGTCAGCCTGGGTAACCTGACTGTGGCCACAACTTTACATTTGACACCTGATGTCCTGGAACTTCTGCGATAGTCTACCTTCCAGTGCCTTACGAATAATTGTGAGTCTCACCAACTCCTTTTCTCTCTGTGTTCCCAAAAACTCACTCTGAGAAGATAAATGCCCCATCTCCATCTGGAATGGAAAACCTTTTATGCTGAAACTGTGTCTCTCAGTTGTTGCCTCTCCCATGAGGGGAAATATCCTCTCAGCACCCACCCTGTCACGTCCCCGCTGAATGTTTCAGCTAAAGGCCTCTCGTTCTTCTAAACTCAGATCCTACCTTTCCTCATTAGATAACCCCCTCATCCCAGGGATCAGTCCAGTGAACCTCGGACATGCTGTTCCTAAAGCTCTTATTTTTGACATGAGGTGACCAAAACAGTACGTACTATTCCAGTCGTGGTCTCACAAATGACAGTAAGTTTGTCTGCTCTTCTACTCCAATCCCCTTTGTATTTGAGTCCAGCATTCCATTTTCAGGGCGGCACGGTGGCTCAGTGGTTAGCACTGCTACCTCACAGCTCCAGGGACCTGCGTTCGATTACACCCTCGGGTGACTGTCTGTGTGGAGTTTGCATGTTGTCCCCACATCTGTGTGGTGCCCCTCCGGGTGCTCCAGTTTCCTCCCACAGTCCAGAGATGTGCAGGTTAACTGGATTGGCCATTCTAAATTGTGCAGGCTAGGTGGGTTAGCCAAGGGAAATGCAGGGTTACAGGGATAGGGTAGGGATTCTATGATTTGCTTTTGTAATTACTTGCTGCACTTACATGATAACAGTGTGATTCATTGAGTATAGGAGTTGGGATGTCACGTTGCGATTATACAGGACATTGGTTAAGCCACTTTTGTAATACTGCAATTCTGGTCCCTCTGCTATAGGAAGTATGTTGTTAAACTTGAAAGGGTGTGGAAAAGGTTTACAAGGATGTTGCTGGGGTTGGAGGGTTTGAGCTACAGGGAGAGGCTGAATAGGCTGGGGCTATTTTCCCTGGAGCGTCGGAGGTTGAGGGGTGACCTTATAGAGGTTTATAAAATCATGAGGGGCATGGAGAGGGTGAACAGTCAAGGTCTTTTTCCCAGTAAAGGGGATTCCAAAACTAGAGGGCATAGGTTTAAGGGGAGAGGGGAAAGATTGAAAAGGGACCTGAGGGGTAACTTTTTTATGCAGAGGGTGGTGTGTGTATGGAATGAGCTGCCAGAGGAAGTGGTGGAGGCTGGTACAATTACACCATTTAAAAGGCATCCAGATGGGTGTATAAATAGGAAGGGTTCAGAGGGATATGGGCCAAATGCTGGCAAATGGAACTAGATCCTCCGACACTTCTGCCATCTGCAATCCGACCCCACCACCAAAGACATTTTTCCCTCCCCTCCCTTATCTGCGTTCCGGAGGGACCACTCTCTCCGTGACTCCCTTGTCCGCTCCACACTCCCCTCCAGCCCCACCACACCCGGCACTTTTCCCTGCAACTGCAGGAAGTGCTACACCTGCCCCCACACCTCCTCCCTCACCTCCATCCCAGGCCCCAAGAAGATTTTCCACATCAAGCAGATGTTCACCTGCACATCTGCCAATGTAGTATACTGCATCCGCTGTACCCGCTGTGGCCTCCTGTACATCGGGGAAACCAAGCGGAGGCTCGGGGACCGCTTTGCAGAACACCTATGCTCGGTTCGCAATAAACAACTGCACCTCCCAGTCGCAAACCATTTCAACTCCCCCTCCCATTCCTCAGATGACATGTCCATCCTGGGCCTCCTGCAGTGCCACAACGATGTCACCCGAAGGTTGCAGGAACAGCAACTCATATTCCACTTGGGAACCCTGCAGCCCAATGGTATCAATGTGGATTTCACAAGCTTCAAAATCTCCCCTCCCCCTACCGCATTCCAAAACCAGCCCAGCTCGTCCCCGCCTCCCTAACCTGTTCTTCTTCCCACCTATCCCCTCCTCCCACCTCAAGCCACACCCCCATTTCCTACCTACTAACCTCATCCCGCCCACTTGACCTGTCCGTCCTCCCTGGACTGACCTATCTCCTCCCTACCTCCCCACCTACACTCACCTTTACTGGCTCCATCCCCGCCTCCTTGACCTGTCTGTCTCCTCTCCACCTATCTTCTCCTTTATCCATCTTCTATCCGCCTCCCCCTTTCTCCCTATTTATTTCAGAATCCCCTTCCCCTCCCCCATTTCTGAAGAAGGGTCTAGGCCTGAAACGTCAGCCTTCCTGCTCCTATGATGCTGCTTGGCCTGCTGTGTTCATCCAGCTCTACATCTTGTTATCCTAGATCAAATTGGGATGTCTGGTTGGCATGGACTGGTTGGACCGAAGGGTCTGTTTCCGTGCTGTATGACTCTATGACTCTGTATACCAGATCCCTGAATACTTCAGAGTTGGTAGTTGATAGGAACACCCCTATTGTCACCAAATATCTCTCCTGCCTCCACATCAACACTTAATGGAATGATGGGCTGGGAGATCAGCCCATCAATTTTACAGATTTCACTGGACAAAACAACTAGTAATGAAATGAACATTGTTTGGGCAGGATAGATCTTTCAGGTGTTTCCAGGCTGGATCTCCCTGACAGTTCCTCTCTCTGTTTCTCTCTGCCAGCTTGTTCTCTGCTGCCTACATAGTGAGGAACAGAAGGCCACTCTCTCCATGGGGATAGGACAGATGAGCCTAATGTTGTATATAGCTGTGATCCGCACAGTTAGGGCCCTTATGGCACAGCGACGGTGTCCTTGCCTCTGGAACAGGAGATCTGAGTACTAATATCCCCGAATAGGTTGAACGGAAAATATTTGATCCACACAATTCCCAGGAATGTTGCTCATTCCTGACCGTGCCCCTAGCCGAGCTGAGCTAGCCCAGTTACCCTTGGTAATTCCCCATCTCCTGGCCTCAGTACTGCCCCCTATCCTCAACATCACTTAAAACACAGCAGGCAGGAGGTGCTGGTGTTTAGTACTGAACCTGTGAATGTGGAACTGATGAACACCCGGACCAACTTAGACTGGTCCACGGGCAGCTCGGTGGGCTCCCCTCGGAGTAAGGCATGTCGATGGTCAGTTCCAAAGATCCCAGCTTTCATCCTGTGGGCACACACTGGGTGGTGCTGCCAATCTGTCACTAGCTGTACAATCGGTATCTCAACCTGTTTGAACAATGAAAAGAGGATGGACAATTAACTGCTTCATTCCCTTTACTTATCAACAAACAACTTTCCCCATCCTCCCTCCCAGCTTTTTGAAAATGTGTCTCTGCTCTTTTCTCCTGCCTGTCATTCCCATCTTGTCTGTGTCTCTCTCTCTCTCACACTCTCTCCAAAAAGAATGTCTTTGCACTTTGATTCTTGTTTCCATCTCTGATTGTATGTCGAATTTAAGCACCACGTCCTCCCAGTGTGCCTCTTGCAGCCAATTTAACTGTTCCCTGTCTTCACCTCCCTAACCCTCACTCACCCTCTTTGCTCTTCGCTCTTGCTAAGTCTCCCTTAACTACGCTCTGTACTGCATTCATGTCCTAAAAGTACTGTCTACCCACCCTAGGAGCTGAGATCTCATGTCTCTGTTTATCTTCAGTCAGGAAAGTTAGCAACTTGACGACGACTTGGCTTCATTTCTGAGCCAATTCTTGGGGAAGTGATCTTTGCAAACATTGGGATTCTTTCAGTTAATATTAGCAACTAATTACTGGATTAAGCTGCTAATTGAATGCTCTCAATACTGACACTCGCTGTGACCACATTCCATCACATTGAAAGAATTTACCTCCAGCCAAACTCTCTCTCTGTCTTTGGCAACAAAAGAAGCTAAAGCTGCAAACATAAAATGTTGGAAATCAGGATCAGGCAGCATCTATGGAGAGACAGCAAGCTAATGTTTTCAGTCTGGATGACTCTGAAAAGTCTGCTGTGATTGCCAACATTTTTTGTTTTCAGTATAAATTCCAGCATCTGCAGTAATTTGCCCCTAAAAGAAGGTAAAAACCTGCACTGAACTTACTCCTATACTCTTCTAGAGTTACAGAGTCATACAACACAGTAACAGACCCTTCAGTCCAACCAGTCCATGCCGACCATAATCCCAAACTAAACTAGTCCCAACTGCCTGCGCTTGGCTCAAATTTCTCCAAATATTTCTTATTCGTGTATATATGCAAATATCTTTTAAACGTTGTAACCATATGCACATCCACCACTTCCTCTGGAAATTCATTCCACACACAACCAACTTTCGGTGTAAAAAAAGTTGCCCCCATGTCTTTTTAAATATTTCTCTGCTCACCAGAAAAATAAGTTCTCTAGTCTTGAATTCCCCCACACTAGGGAAAGGGCACCTGCCATTCACTTTATCTATGCCCCTCATGATTTTATAAACCTCTATAAGGTCATCCCTCAGCCTCCTATGCTCCTGTGAAAAAAGTCCCAGCCTAACCAGCTTTTCTTTATAACTCAAACCCTCTCTTCCTGGCAACATCATGTTAATCTTTTCTGAACCCTCTCCAGCTTAATAATATCCTTCCTGTAACAGGGCGACCAGAACTGGACACAGTATTCCAGAAGAGGCCTCACCAATGTCCTCTACAACCTCAACATGACGTCCCAACCCCTATACTCTCGTCTGAGCTATGAATATGAGTGTACTAAACGCCTTCTTAACCACACTATCTACATGTGATGCAGACTTCAAAGAATTATGTACCTGAATCCCTAAGTTTCTCGGTTCTACAACACTGCCCAAGGCCCTAGTTTTAATTGTGTAAGTCTTGTCTTTGTTTGTTTTACCAAAAAGCAATAAATCGTATTTATCCAAATTAAACTCTATCTGCCACTCTTCAGCCCATTGACCCAAGCTGATCAAGATGTCTTTGTAATCTTAGATGACCTTCTTCACTGTCCACTATACCATCAATCTTGGGGTCATCCCCAAGTTTACTAACCATGCCTCCTATACTCTCATCCAAATCATTGATATAAATGACAAACAAATATTGCACTCAAGCTGAAACACTACAAAGGGCTGAGACACTGTGAAACAGTGTCAACAACAACCTGCATTTATGCAGCGCCTTGAACATAGAAAAATGCCGCAAGACTCTTACCAGGAGCACTATCAAGCGGAAGCTCACACCAAGCCTTGGGACGGGTCACTGAAAGCTTGGTCAAAGTGGGTCAGGATTGGGGTTAGCAGTATTTGAGGGAGGGAGAGAGACCGAGAGAGTCTGGGAGAGATTTCCAGAGTTCAAGGTGTGCGTAGCTGAGGGCACACATGTCAATGGAGTGATTAAAACCAAGGATCGGCAAGAGGTTTGAAGCAAAGGAGCAGAGAGGGCTGGAAAGGGAGGCAATGATAGGGAGGACTGAGGCCAAGGAAAGGATTTAACAGAAGGATATGAATTTTAAAACTGAGAGGGTGACATACTGGGATCCAATGTAGGTCAGCAAATCCAGGGTGTCAGAGATTTTGATGTTCCTAAGCTAATACAGCAATCAGCTTACAATACAATCTGTACACAATCTGTATTTTAAGACAGTATTGGCATCAATGGTAAAACTGTACACTTGCCTGAGATTTGCAGATTTACAGATCTCCATGCAAAGAATTAAACATTGGCAAGGGTGCTTAGTGGGCTCTGTCACTCCAGGGATCAGCTACATGTGACAAACACCATAGAGTCAGACAGTATAGAAACATACCCTTCGGCCCAAGTCCTCCTTGCTGTCCAGGTTTTCCAAACTTAACTAGACTCCTTTGCCTGTGTTTGACCTATATCCCTCCAAACATTTCCTATCCGTGCACTTATCCAAATGTCTTCTAAATGTTGTAATTGTACCCGCCTCTACCACTTCCTCTGGCAGCTCATTCCATACACACACCACCCTCTGTGTGAAAAGCTCCTCTTCAGGTCCCTTTTAAATCTTTCTCCTTTCACCTTAAACCTATGCCCTCTAGTTTTGGACTCCCTTACCAAAGGGAAAAGACCTTGGCTATTGACCCTATCTATGCTCCTCATAATTTTATACACTTCTATAAGGTCACCCTTCAGCCGCTGATGCTCCAGGATAAAGAGTCCCAGCCTATCCAGCTTCTCCTTATAACTCAAACCCTCCAGTTCTGGCAACATCCTGGTAAATTTTTTCTGCACCTTTTCCAGTTTAACAACTTGCATCCTATAGCAGGGTATCCGGAATTGTACGTAGTTGACTTGGACAATTATACCCAATGTTCAGGAACAAAAATATCTAAAGGAATGTGGATTTTACTCACCAACGTGCCCTCCGCATCAAAGGGTCAACTACCTGCATGGATTCTTGTCAAACCCTTTAAAGGGGGCAGTAAAGTCAGTCACATTAAAGCAGATTATTGCCTGTGATCGCTGATCACTCCACAGTGAAGCTATGACATTTTCTCCTCCCCCTTGGCCAGGGTCAAAACTTTAGTCATCTTTTGTTCTGCCCCTTTGGTGTTGCCTTGTTCTGATTTAAGCTCTCGTCTGTTGTCAGGAAGAATTAGCATTTCAATAAAAGTAAATTATAAGCCATCTTTCAGGCTTTCTATACCAGCAGGAAGTGTATTGTTGCTGTGTTTATTTCTGCATCTAGGTACCTGGAACAAACAACAAAGATCAATGTTCTTAGCTGGTAACTCAAGAGAAGGATCCTGTTTGACCTGTTGACATCCCCCCAGTGTTTGGCAGTAGTAGCGTAGAATGAAGGAAGGAGCCTGGCAGTGTGCTGTAGAATGGTTCTTTTTTAATTGTGGTGGTTACAAAGGCCATATTATGAGTTTGGGTTCTTCACAGACTGTTCAAGGAGGAGAAAGCATGGGTCAAGAACTGTCTTCAAGCTTAGACTTCAAAGTAATACAATTTATTATAGATTAATATTAAACCCTGCTTGATATGGTAAACTCAGATATCCCAGGCTCTGACTTACACATTTAATGTACTAATATCTAAAAATACATAAATTCTATTGTAAGGAGTATTCTGCCTACTTTGTGTGTTCATGTCCATGTGCTCATATTTGTCTTCCGTGCAATCTGACAATCTTCTACCGGTGTTTTAACTTTGCCCGCACAGTGTGCTATTTATACCGAGTGATGTGTAACATTACCACAAGGTTGCTACAGGGTCCCAAGGCTCTTACACATCAGGCTACAGCTCAGAAGCAGACTCTTTGGGGTGTGCGGGCTCTGTCCTCAATCCTCTGCCCTTCTGCTGCACATTGAGAGTACCACACACTCAGAAAGCTCGTACACCTCCTGATTTTCTCTGCTCCCTCCGGATGGCCTCCTGTTTATTTTTTGGGATGCTCTTTACCTGTTCCTGAAAGCCTATTTGACAAAGTGCCACGTGAAAGGCTGATTAACCAAACCATGGCTGTTGGGAATAGGATGGTCATTGTTGGCTTGGATAAAAAAGTTAGATTAAAGGAGAGAAAAGAGTGAGTGACTGTGCGTGCTTTTACAGTGGATAAGCAGCATTTCCTAAAGGCTAGTGAATGGGTCATTGCTCCTTTTGGTATATTTGAATGACTTGCCTATTAGAATACAGAGTCAAATTTCAAAACTTACAAGTTGTGTAACAGACAGTAAGGATGATACTGATCAACTGCAACAGGACATGGAGAGACAGTTGGGCAATCAAGTGGCAAATGGAATTTAATTTCGAGAACTGTGAGGTGACATATTTTGACAACCTGGAGAGGGAATATGGAATAACAGGTACAGTTCTAAAGAGTATGAATGCACAGGGAGCACCTAAGAATTCATATGAAGGTAGTAGGGCATACTGAGAGGATAATTAGCAAAGCGCATGGGATTTAGGGCTTCAGAAGTAGAGAGCACTTTGAGTACAAAAGCAGGGAAGTTCGAGAATTACACCGACCTCTGGTCACCACACTTCAGGAAGGATGTGAGAGCCCTCAAGCCAAGAGAATTATCTGGAGAGAGATTTCAGTTGCAAGATTAGGTTGTGTCATGGAACAAAACCCTAAATATGATGGACATTTTTAACCGTTAACTTCAAAACATTTTTTTTTGAGAAAAGGGAATAGTTTCAGACAAAACAAACAAAACCACGGATGTAAATTCAGTGCTGTCTAAGGAGAAATTTCTTCTCTCAGAAGGCTGAGAGTCTTTTGGAACTCCATACCACAGAGAGAGCTGCGGGGGCAGAGTCCTTGTGTATATTTAAGGTTGAGATAGATTCTTGATCAGTCAGAGAATCAAGGGTTATAAAGAAAGGACATGAAATTGGACATGAAGAATGTCAGATCAGCCATGATCCTATTGAATGGCGGAGCAGGCTCGAGGAGTCTTTCGACCTACATATGTTACTATTTCTTATGGTCTTATTAATCAAACCCTGGATGGGACCCATGGAATGACACACCTGTAAAGTGCCAAATTCAAACACAGAGAGAGATACATAGAAGGAAGAAATAATGAGGGAGATGACTAGCACCCCTCTCAGTTCAAAGCCACTTCTTGCAGAATTTTTTTTGTGTTTGCCCTACATGGAATATACAAAACGAGGATTAAAAACCATTACCAACGCTGGTCTGTGTGTTCAAGTGGGAGAACGTATGCTCGTGAACAGAGGCATCTTTGTATGCTGTCCTGGGTCTAAGTGCTAAGTATGCTATGAATGTCACAGTCCAAGAACTACCCACTAGTTACCCCAGGACTGCAGGTAAGCAAATTCTCTCACTCTGTATACTCAAAGCCAGCTGGTTAACAAGCCAGTCTAAAGGAAATAGGAAAAAAGAATTTTAATTAACCTGTAAAAATGAAGAATTCTGAAATCAGTTGTTCACTTATTAACCTTACGCTATCTAGAGTCAGAGAGTCATACAGCATGGAAACAGATCTTGTCATTATTTATCTTAGAGTCACAGAGTCAGAGACTCCTACAGCATGGAAATAGACCCTTCAGTCCAACTAGTCCACACTGACCATGTTCCCAAACTAAACTAGTCCCACCTGTCTGTGCTTGTCTTATATCCCTCCAAACCTTTCCTATTCATGAAATTATCCAAATGTTATTTAAATATTATAACTGTACCTGCAACAATCATTTTCTCTGGGAGTTCATTCCACGCACAAAGGACTCTCTATGTAAAAACATTGCTCCTCGTGTCCTTTTTCAAACTTTCTCCTCTCACCTTAAGAATATGCCCCTAGTTTTGAACTCCCCCGCCCTAGGGAAAAGATACCTGCTATTCACCCTATCTATGCCCCTCATGATTTTATGAACTTCAATAAGGTCACCCCCCAAAACCTCCTACTTTCAGTGAAAAAGTCACAGCCTTTCCAATTTATTTTTATATCTCAAAAACCCTCCACTTCAGGAACAGTGGTAGTAGGAACTGCAAAACCAAAATATTTGTGCTCAGGGCCCCCAGTCAATTACATGAGCCCTGATCCAAAGTGTTCATATTTCAGCCGTTAATCTGTCCATGCCCGTTCTCGCATTTTATTGTCACCCCCATATCGACTATGACTGTCAGTGCTATGACATCTTGGCCCTTTCTGAAAATGATGTCTGGTTTCCATCACTGGCTTCCAGTCTTGGTTCAAGGTAGAGTGTCAGGCCGAACTTGGAAATGCATTGCTTTCCTTGGTGGAAGATCTTATTGTGGTGCTTTATTCCTGCACTATTTACAAATGGGAGGGTATCCATAAATGTGGGTGAAGCTTACATTGGGAACCTTGCACCTCTGACAGGTTTTGATAATGTCAGCCTTGAGGGGTATAGGCTGCTCTGCATTAGGAGACTTTGGATGAGGCAAAATAATTTTGTGGTGCATGTGGATTTTATCCAGAGAATGTAGAGTTATACAGCATGGAAACAAGCCCTTCAGCCCAACTCATCCATGCTGACCATGCTTCCCAAACTGAACTAATCCCATTTGCCTGCGTTTGGCCCATATCCCCCTAAACCTTTCCTATTCATGTCCCTTAATGCCTTTGTAGCATGATATTCCCACACCTTAGCTTTTAAGCTTCAACTACCACACAAATTCCCACTTTTTCCACACAATACAGTCGGTTATCAGTTCTGTTGTGGGTGGAATCCGTAAGCTGCACCTCCCCTGGGGAGTAATTGTCTTCCTTTTGATTCAATTGCCTTAAGGACCTAGAACATGCTCAGCCCTTTGATGATATCAGTATTGTTTATTGCCCCGGAATTGGAAGGAGGCCTGAATCACCAGGCCCCTGGCCATTTCGAGTGCTTTGTGTTTACAAATAATCGTGGCCTTCGGAGCACACCAATTAGTGTGAGAAGAATTCTGTCAAAACCTCCACCCCTCGGAAAACCGCCCGAGCATCCATACCTGGGTGAAGTTGTTGACTCACTCACCAAGCTGGCTTATTCTCCTTCAGACGTTTCGTCACCATGCTAGGTAACATCATCAGTGGAGCCTCTGATGAAGCGATGTTATTCTACTCCGCTCGGAATTTGTACTGTCCGGTCCGCAATGATGAGTACTGTCATATCCGGTTTTGATATATGTGGGCTTCTATACGGGGTCCAATTCTATATGTTTGTTAATTGCATTACAGGTGGAGAACGATGCCCTTAGGAATTCCTGTGTGTGTTTATGTTTGGCTTGGGCTACTATGGTTACCTTGTCCCAGTTAAACTGATGGCCTTCATTGTCTAAGTGCACTGATATTAAGGACAGATCATTGTGTAGTTTTGCTGCTAGCTGATGTTCCTGTATTCCTATTTTCCTTCCTGTCTGTCCGATGTAATGTTTGTGGCAGTCGTCGCATGGTATTTTGTAAACCACGTTGGTTCTGCATGTTTTGGGAATGGGGTCTTTAATCCTTGTGAGTGTTTGTCGTAGAGTGGCTGTGGGCTTGTGGGCCACCATGATTCCTAGCGATCTTAGGAGTCTTGTTGTCAGTTCCGATATGTTCTTGATGTAGGGCAGTGTGGCCAGTGTGTTAAGGTGGACTGTGTCCTCCTGTTGTTGTCTGTTTTGTAGGCATCTGCCGATGAAGTTGCTGGGATATCCGTTTATAGCGAGGATATTGTTTGGTGCTCTTCCTCTTTCTTGTGTAGTTCTGGAGTGTTGCAGTGTGTCCTGGCCCATTTAAATAGTGTCCTAATGCAGCTTTGTTTTGTGGCCATTGGGATAGTTGCTCTGGAAGTTGAGGATTTGATCAGTGTGGGTTGCTTTTCTATATACTGATGTTTGGTCATACGCTAAGCGTTAACATCCAGAAACGGACGTTTATTGTTGTGTTCTTCTTCCCTTGTGAATTTAATCCCTGTGAATATGCTGTTATTATGCAGCTTTGTTTGAGGATGTTGGGGTGTGCAAGTTGAGGATTTGATCTGTATGGGTTGGAACTCCCCTTTGGTCATACGCTCAACGTTAACATCCAGAAACGGAAGTTGATTGTTGTTTCCTTCTTCCCGTGTGAATTTAATCCCTGCGAATACGCTGTTGATGAGGTGGTGGGTCTCTTCTAATTTGTTGTGTTTAATAATGACAAATGTGTCATCTACATACCGGATCCACAGTTTAGGTTGAATGTGGGGGAGGGTGGTGTGTTCTAGTCTTTGCATGACTGCTTCTCAATGAGTCCTGAGATGGGTGACCCCATTGGTGTACTGTTGATCTGTTTATATACTTGACCATTAAAGACGAAGTGTGTGGTGAGGCAGAGGTCTTGCTGTTTAAGTATGTTGTCATTGCTGAAGGAGCCGCTGGTCTGTGTTGCTTCTTCCTCTAGTAATGTAGCCACTGTTTCTTTGGCTAGGGGAATATCGATTGATATGAATATTGCTGTGACGTTAAAGGATACCATAATCTCATCATCGCTGATTTTTATGTTCTTGACTGTATTGATGAATTCTTGGGTTGAGTGGATGGAGTGGGATGATCCGTCAATCAAGTGTTTCAGTCTCTGTTGTATGTCCTTGGCCACTTTGTGTGAAGGTGTCCCTGGTAGGGAAACAATGGATCTGAGAGGGATGTCTGGTTTGTGGACTTTAGGAAATCCATAGAAGCGGGGAGTGTTCGTGCCTTCTGGTTTCATTCTCATATAGTCCATCTTGGTTGTCTGTCCTACCTCCTTTAGTCTCTTCAGTGTCTGGGTGATCCTATTACCCGGCTGCGGTGTTGGGTCTATCGCCGCCTGTTGGTAGGTGGTTGTATCTGCAAGTAATGCCTGTGCTTTCTTTACATAGTCCGGTTTGTTCATAACATGGTCATCGCCCTACCGCTGGTAGGATTATGATGTTCCTGTCTTTCTTGAGTTTATCTAGTGCTTTTGTCTCTGATGTGTTCAGGTTGTCCCCTTTGTTCCTTCTGTGTGGTGTGGGGATTATAGTTTGTTGGATGGCTTGTTGTGTTTCGTCCATGAGTCTGTTGTCTTTTAATGTAGTCTCCAGAGCGGCCATGAAGTCTGTTCTGTTCACATCTTTGTGGTTATAGTTAAGTCTGCATAATAGGACAGCTTTCTCAGTTTGTGTGTCTGCTGGATAGGTTTCTTATCGATGTGTCTGGTTTGTTATTGTCCTTGTCTTTGTGGTGGATCAATTTGGTGAGTTTCTCCTGTAGCTTGTGTTTCTTCCTAGTTTTGGTTTTGTGTTGATTGATGGTAATGGCCTGTTCTAGGGTTGTAGTCCACTGCTAGTCCGTAATGTTTAGATACTATGATTTTTGGCACAAAATTTCCCTTTTGTACCTGTGGAGTCAGTTATGGACATCATTAATCATTGCGCTTGGCATTCTGCATCCATTCTGTTCAGCTGTTTTATATGTCTATGTGTTGTTGAGTGGAGGTTTGTATTTTATGCTGTGGGGTAGGACCTGGTTCCTGAGGCATTCGTGAAGAAAATGGAGTTGTTCACGGGTATTCGTAACAACAGCGTTTCCGCAGGGATTAAATTCACAAGGGAGGAAAAAAACAATCAACTTCCGTTTCTAGATGTTAACATTGAACATATGACCAACGGGGAATTCGGAACCTCAATAAACAGAAAAGCAACCCACAATGATCAAATCCTCAACTTCCACAGCAACCACCCCAATGTCCACAAACAAAGTTGCATTAGAACACTATTTAAACAGGCCAGGACACTCTGCAACACTCCAGAACTATACAAGAAAGAGGAAGAGCACCTACACAAAATCCTCACAATAAACAAATATCCCCACAACTTCATCCGCAGACGCCTGCAAAACAGACAATAACAAGAGGACACAGTACGCCGTAACGCACTGGCCACACTGCCCTATGTCAAGGACTGACAACAAAATTCCTAAGACCACTAGGAATCATGGTGGCTCACAAGGCCACAGCCACTCTACGACAAACACTTACAAGGATTAAAGATCCCATTCCCACAACATACAAAACCAACATGGTTTATAAAATGTCATGCAATAACTGCCACAAACATTACTTTGGACAGACAGGAAGGAAACTAGCCATCAGAATACATGAACATCAGCTAGCAGCAAAACGGCACGACAAACTCTCACCTGTCACCTAGCACGATGATGAAACGTCTAAACAAGAACAAGCCAGCTCGGCGAGCAAGTCACCAACCTCATCCACAATCCAAGCTACAGATCTTTGCCAAAACTTTAAATATCCGTACCTGGGATTTGAAAGGTTAAGCAACTTGCTTGTGACCACTGGGTACAAACTTTTAAGATAGAAACCACTTATGGAAACTTCTGTGCGCTAATTCTCTTTGAAAAGACCTAAGATCCTTTCCCAACTAGAACGTACCTAGAGGAACAGAGAATGACCGAGTCCAGAGGACCAGGAGCCGATGCACAAACCCTTGTTCCAGAAAAAAAACCCTCGCAACCAAGGAAAATATCAAGGTGGAGCGAACGAGAGGAGATGGGGAATTGTAGGAGCCCTGCTCAGGACAGTAAGGGTTGTGCTGAATCGAAAAGGTGAGGCTGAAAACAAAACCAGTTATATTATCTGCTAAAAAAGAGAATATCTGGGCCAACGTTTCTGAAGAAGGGTCTAGGCCCGAAACGTCAGCTTTCCTGCTTCTCTGATGCTGCTTGGCCTGCTGTGTTCATCCACACCTTGTTATCTCAGACTCTCCAGCATCTGCAGTTCCTACTATCTCAGAATATCTGGGCCATCTGCTGGAGGTTAAGGGAAAAACCAGCGGGATTTTTTGAGGAACAAACACCATGTGCGGAGAATGGGATTCAGTCAGAGACTATGCAGACTGGTCTGTAACTCTGACTGGGGCTGTGAATTCCTATACCAATGCTCCTGAGAGAGTGGATGAAGTTCAACAGCAAAACTCTTTCAGTAGAACCTGACAGAGTTTCCAAATACCAGTATTTCCATCTAGCTGGTAAAACTCACATCCAATTTGCTTTCAACCTGAACAAAAGATCTTCCATCGGTCTACAATTGTCAACAATTTGTTTTTGTTGACAGGAAGTCCAATGAATATAAAAAGTCATCATAAAAGTCATATAAAAAGTCATTGTTTTCTGAAGAAGGGTCTAGACCCAAAATGTCAGCTTTCCTGCTCCTCCGATGCTGCTTGGCCTGCTGTGTTCATCCAGCTCTACACCTTGTTATATCATATTCCATCCTCTGTTTGCAACCTCCTGGCCCTCAGGAGCTGGTTTTCATTTCTGGCAATTTATTTAAAAATTACCATCTCTGCACAGAATTGTCTTCTCATGTGTTGTGACTGTGTATGTAAGTGTTAGGAGAATAAAGAGGGTTATAGTTTTAATTCCCGGATCAGAGCTTAGGTGTAAATTGGTGTTTGCCGCTTGTTTTAAGAATAAGTTTTGATCAGATTTAAAAGATTAATTTGAGTTTATTAAAGAAGACTGGTGGATATTTATCTTAATATAGATAGCATACAAAAGAGAAGCAACTGGTCATTTTGATAGTCAAATCAACAAATGTACAACAAAGGTGTGACTGAACGACAAGTGAGCGCGGATATTGTTGCACTCCTGTCACTGATATGTGAACACTTTAATTCATGCTGTTTAAGTAAGTACTGTATGAATCATACACGGTTTAATTATAGATAGGTAATGAGTTTTCAGGAGACTGCAGACATTGTGGCTTTGGTGCTGTTGTGCCTGGACAGTTGCCATGTTTGGTTTTTGAGATCCATCCAGAGTGTGACACTGGAATTGTGATAGACAGCAACAATTGCCACGTAACTGAGTGTGAAATTCATTGCTCTTGTGCAAGGCCCAGTGTAGGGGTTTGTGGGTGTGAGGATTGACTGGTTGTTTCCTGTGTGGTCAGAGTATGTTTCTGTTTGTGACAAGGTGTGCCTGTCCGAGTGACTGCCAGCTTTGCTAAAGTTGTGCAGTATTAATGTCACACAACTCGAGGCACTGATGCGACGCCAGGATATCAAATTTACATTCTGCATCTCTTGGCTACAAGCTGTCACACGTAACTGACTAAAAGTGTGTAATGCTACAAGGCAGACCATGGGGAAGGAGCTATTTAAAAGGCCACTCAGCAAGGTGAGGTGCTTTTGGCTTACCTTTGCTGTGCTGAAGCTGGCAGAAGCGCTCTGCTGGAATATTGAAGGTGCTTCTGTTTTTTGCCAATAACTGAACACAGCTGGGGAGGAGAGAGAGGACCAGCTGACGCAGGTATTGAGGGATGTCATTGTGATTTTCAACATGACTGAGAAAGAGGGCTGAGGCAAACAGGAGATGTTGTGAGAGGGACAGAAGTTAGTTTTCCGGGCGCATTTTTCCTACGTTGGAAGGAGCCACTGATTCACCAGGCACATGGTCATCCAGTGATGCCACCCCATCAGGCTGGGATCCTGGCAGCAGGGTGATGATCGTCATCCCATTAGGCACCATGTTCACTAATCGCTCTCAATGTCAACAGCTCCAGCATTGGTCAGTGAGGCCCAGAGAAACATCGTCACACAATGTCACATGATGCAGCAATGCCGGGAGATGACGGGAGCCCTCTCTCACTGGAGAGGGAAGACCCAGTTATAGGGACAGGACCCTCAAGAATTTCGATTTGATAAATACAACCACCTCTGGCATTTCCCATTGGCAACATGAGAGCTTCTTGTCACATGACCTGTGTCGGGCACTTGGGCAAGGTTGGTGGTGCAGTGTGACACAGTATGAAGGAACATGATTGACACCCACATGTGATCATTTCCTACACTTACATTGGTGAGGCATTCACTTCCTTGGCATCAGGTCCCATTCCTGCTTTTTTTTTGGACAGTGTTGCTCAAACATATCCCTCGCCCATCACACCACCCTCCTACGGGACCGATGGTCTTTTTCCTGGATGCCAGCCTTGTGATAGAGTTTCCAAGGCAGCATGGCTGGGGTTAGGTGTCAGCCTCGTTTCACTGCAGCAGGTGTATTGTAAAGGACTTTACCAGCAGCCGGGGGTTCGGGAGTACGGCTGGCCTTTAAGGGGAACAGCTTGCCTTTAAGGAGAGAGAACCTGGCGAGACCATGTTGGATGTTCAGCACAATGCTACAGGGGACAGAGACAGGGGACACACAGAGAAGGAGGAAGAGGAGGAAATGTGGAGAATCCACCCGGACACACATTACAGCCAGAGAGATTGAGTTCCCAGGTGTGGGCAGGTTGTGAATGGCAGACCATTGCCAAACAATGGGGCACATTCATTTCTAGCCCAATGTGTTAATTTCCACATTAGATACTGGATGATGGCTAGTAGAGACTTTGTACTCAAAATGAATGGAAAATGTCCTCACCACAGGCCCTGGTGTCAGCTGGTAAAGTCGTGGGCAATGTAGAGTAGGAGGTATCCTACTGACCAGCTTATCACAACTGGGACAGCTAATAGAGTTGGTACGGGGGCTAGTGAGAGGAAAAGACAGTCAGAGTTCCTGCTCCCGATCACTGCTTTGCAGTAAAATAACCTTATGGTACTGGCAAGGGTCCAGCACAGTCAGAGGAGATCTTCACAAAGACTAACTGTTGCTCCTTTCCTAGACATTGCAATACGAGGCCTGGTGCTGGATGCAGAAATTATGATGCAGTATGACTTTGAGCTCTTTGTTTCTTGAAGTACT